TTTAAGAAATAAAATTTATTTTGCTTCTAAAGAAATTAAGGGCATCAAGAATTTAGACTAAAGCCCACTGTATAATGCATTGCATTTAGTTCACTGGTAAAAACCTTCTCAGTATTCGAATTCTTTAGTTTTTAAAAATAACAAGTTACGTTTTCTGTATTTAGTTAGCATCAGCTAAGGTCACAGATTCGTTATCCGTGTACTTACCATATATATTTATGAAAACTGTATAAGCAGTTTTGATAAATCAGAGCCAAAGCCCCGTTAGCTGCCATTAAATTAGCTTATCCAAACATTTTTTACCTTTCTTACATATATGGCAGAAGAGGAAAGAATTAGTCTGGAAAAATGACTTTCATACGGGAATAAGACTTGCACATGTCACTGGAAATCTGCTTATTAAAATGTTCATGTCAACATTTCACTTGTACTTAAACCACAAAAAACTGATTTTAAACTCGGCGAAAGGAGAAATGAGCGTTTCCAATAGAGCAAGACTGTGCTTGACCTAGAAGGGTGGTGAATCCATCAACTCAGAGGTGAAAATACACTACATTTTCCAGGATTAAATCTCAGGAGCCCCAGTTCAAGAAAATATTTTAGGCACAAGCTTCTCTGTTTTCTGAAAAGTGCTTAGGTATCTTCTCCATTTCACTGATTTTACACATGAAGTAGTAGGAAAGACTTCTTAAGTTGGCAAATCAGCTAGGATACGTACTTTAAGACACATACATTTTGTATGCAGTATGATCACTGTGACTGTGAAAACTTAGTCCAAAAAGAATGTTATTTATTTAAAATAAGTACCTAATAGGTAGCAAACCAGGTTTGGAGCCTACAGTTATTTCACGTGGTACAATTCTCATGGGAGCCCACGGGAATTCTGCTTTCATTAAGGTGGAATGTCAGCAAATGCTCACATTGCCTTTTTTTTTCCCCCCAGACTCTTGTTAAATTAAAGGGTTTTAAATTTTATTTCTGCAGTCTAGGCAATTGCAAAGTGCATAGTTGTTTTACTAAGACATTCTAAATATATCACTTGTAAATTAATGTAAAAATTACTTATTTTTGACTTCTCATTTACTAACTTCCTTGTCTTATGTAGCTACAGCTGCTGTCTTAGCATTTCAGTGTACATGGGAAAACAATGTGCTGAATGAGCAGATGAAAAATTCCAAACAGAGTAATTTAGAGTCATATTCATTAGGCCTATTTAAGCAGCTGAAATTATACAGCCCTGGTGTCATACCAATGATGTCTGTCATCTACATCAAACAAATATATGGGGCAGTGTTTTTTTTCCAAGAACATTTGATTGTGTTAATCTCCTCAGCACAGTCATACAAAATCATGACTTGCCTACTAAATTTCTTATTAGCTCAGACTAATTACTGTCAAAGGAGATCATGCATTTTCTGAATGCGTTGCCAAGCAAAGTTAAAAGGACACATGAAATGCAGTGCGTGGATGGATCTGTGTGTTTAATCACAAAGTAAAATGTAAATCTGTCAAGTTACAAACTGAAACAAATAATAGCAACCTAAATAGTTTCTGGCTTGAATCTCAGCAATGCATTATAAAGAATATGAAAATATAATTTATTCATCCATAGTCTACTTTGGCATTAAAATATCTGCTAACTACTCTTTTTGCTTCCTGGAAAATGGAAAGAAAAAAAAATCACAGTGATAATTCAAAAAAGGTTCTACTGATGCTTATGTTAATAAGAAGCATTAGATAATTAAATTCTCTACTTCTGTTTGTTATTAGAACAGTGTCTTTTGTGGCTACCTGTTAACTACTGACCATTGTAGGAGGCTTCCTTTATTGGCTATGTCCAGTCTTCACCTAAGGTATCCTCACATGTGTTATATACTGTCGGTGGTGACATGAGAACAATGCATATTGTTCTAGTGTGATAAAGATCTTAATTTTTTTACTAATATGCTTCTCTTATGATGTTTGGACATTTTCTCTAATTCTGCAATTTGAATATTTACAGCAGATGCTCATTCTAAAGCACTGTTTTCATCTCGAAATTCCTTTTCTAATTGACATCATGTCAAGCTGATTTGACAAATTCTCTTCCTAACCTCATGGGTATAATTTCAGTTTCTCCTCTTAGGAGAGGGGAGGTAACACTGCATTTATAGCCCCGTGCCTGGGAGCAGAAGCAGCTGCAATATGTTTTTGTGAAGTTTAGTAAATAAAACGGGTTAATAAACATCACTCCCCACATCCTATTGATGCAGCTGGCAACTTTTGTAGGTCTTCAGGCAAGTATTCAAAAGTTTGTACTAGTAATTGCAAAGGTTGGGCTGGGAACAGGTATTTAAGACTCAGCCTTGTAGTTTTGACATGTGTGACCCCAGCGTGGCTCCCTCTTGTATAAGGACAGCACAACCATTTTCTCGGGGACTGCTGGGGTGAGGACGCTTAGACAGAGAGTTTTGTCGTCATATACAGATTCAAAATGCCTCCTTGGGGCTACCAGGGCAATGGAAATGAGGCAAGAAGTCTACACAGATGTTCTTATCCATTGAAAAAGCTCATTCTGGCTTAACTGTCAAGTAAGCAGCAGTGGTCCCTAGCAGCTGCCAGTGGCTGAAAAGGCACAGAAGAAAAGCCGCAGTTATCCCGGGACTGACCTATGCACACATTTTCATCGTCCAGCTCTGCAGAAGCATTTCTGAAGTAGCCCAGCCTGCATAACTCACAGTGCTGACCTCTAGTGTTGTGCTTACAGCTCACGCAAATGACCGTATTGAGCAGCTCGATGTAACTGCACCGGTTGGAGTGCCCGAAGCATTCACAGTCTTTCAAGGAAGAACAGAAATGTATACAAAGTGTATACAGCAGCAGAGTAATAGCACATTACATGCTTAGTAAAAATGAACCATGAGCAGAAATATGAATGAATGGCACATACATGTTAATCAATGTAACATGGACAACAGCAGATGTCTATCTGCAATGAAAGTGGAGTTTGTTTCAGGCAGGTTAGCGTGACCCGGCAACCATGGCATGACATCGAAGGTTGGCTGTTGTTGGCAGACCTGATGGAACTGAAGCATTTGCAGTTGTAAACCTTTCAGGGTTACTGGAGGCTCTATAGTTTCTGCTGATAGAAATGCACATATTTTTGCACGTTTGAGATGAGTATAAATCAAGATCCAGGAAAAACTTCCTCATATTAAAAATGTTAAATTCAGTGGACAAAATTGTCAAACTTCATTATGCCTAAAAATCCACAACTGTAAGTAAATGTTTTTTTCCTGACAGAAATGGTGAGCATTGAAAAATGCTACTGAACTTGGGGTGCTATAATTGATAGGCACCTTGGGAACCAGACTGTTCTATTTCAAGACTAAACAAATCTCTAGTTTGACAATTTTGGCCAGCACCTCCTAAAACAATAAACAGAGAAGAAAAGGAAGGAAGAGAGTTGTTATTTGAGAGCTACTTCCACTGTACTTCTGAGGTAAGCATTAACACATTTTTGTATTCTGTGATGAGAAACAATTGGGCCAGAAAAGATCATGAAAATTGTGAAATGTGTACTGAATAGAAAGCATGCTTACTGCAGCCATCTGAAATGCAGTTGGCATGACAGCCACTTTTAAAAACCCCCTTCATTAAACATGGAATGCTAGTGCCTTTTACTCTTTAATCACAAGCAATGCTTGGCTTTATGCAGAATGAAGGAGAAATTAGAAATGTATCAATAACATTATAGAAGGCACAGCTATGCTCTGTGTTGTGAGCCTGAGCACTCAGCCCACAATGAATGCAGGAAAGGTTATTAGGATGATCAGAGAAGTAGAGAGTCTATTTAAAAAGAGAAGACTAGGATAATTTCACTTGTTTACTCTAGGAAACTCATGATAGAAGATATCAATGGGCTATAAATACATCACGAGTTAGCCTTCTGCCATCCTAATGGACAACACTGGAACAAGAACAAGTGGGTGTTAACTGGCAGTTGAGAAATTTCAACTGGAAATTAGGAGATGGTATCTAGCCATTAGGGCACTGAGGTTCTTGAACACTTTCAATTTGTAGCAAAACACAGTGATGCTTTAGAAGATGTAGGTTATTAACTGGTGTAAGAAATTGCAGTATGTTTCCTTCAGTAATGGAGCACTGGATGCAGTGACCTGGAAGGGCTTCAAGGTCTTGAAGTTAACTTATCTTGTAATTAGATAAAGCTGTAGCAGAGGGTGTAAAATGCTTCCATACATGACAGAGGCCAAATACCTTGTGCTGCCTTTCCTCTAGTATCCTCCTAATTACGCTGGGACACCTAATGAGCCACTGATTGCTGGAGGTGGGCATCAGATACAATATTTGTTCCTGTCTATATTTGTAGAAAGAAATAACAGTCCTTTGTACATGTTTCTGAGCATGCTATGCCCACCCAATACATACACATTTCTTTGGCTTTTGTCTGATGTAGTGGACTGTAAATAGATTGCATTTTTCCTTAGACATTTAGCACAACATATGTTTCAATCTTGAGAGCTGCCTTTCTCCTGCCAGGAAACATTAATTAATTTTACATATACACATTTAGTTAACATACATTTCTTGTTCTCTTTAGTACTACACTGCTAAATCAATGTTTTATGGTTCATGTCAATCTGATAATTTTGATGCCTGTAAGTGCTGGAGTACAGGAAAACATTTGGCGTATCAGTCTCACTTGAGACAAATGAGTAGGGATGAGAAATATGTTTATGTTTGTTGTCTTTTGCAGTTGGTCATTGTGATTCAGCATCTCAAGTGAAAACTGGCTATGTGGGGCAGAGAAAAGAGATGTAAAAGTGGAAACTAGCACTAGCAAAATAGGAATCACAGAAAATTGTTAGGATTGTAAAAGTTTTTGTGCTTGATTTTTAAAATAAGAAAGACTGGCTAGTGATAAGCAATCAATCTGATCTTTCTGAATTTTGGATTCAGAAGCAAGGCTGTCTTAGTCTCTCTGTCTGACAAAGGACCTGTCTTCTACTACCATCAGGCAATTTATTTTGGTGAGATGATACTGTATTGGTATGTTTGTCAGACTTGCTAAACATTTTCATACTGTAGGTGCATTTATTTAGAGGAAATAATTTACCTTGTTTTTCAAATCACTAACAGGCAACCCAATACTACGTTGTTATGTTTCCAAAATACGCAGACTATAACGAAAATCAGGCTACATCATCCTTTGTGTTTAAAGTAGCAGAAAGAAATGGAGAATATTCTGTGAATGACTGCACTACTTCCACTCTGAAATTTTGATATGACCTTCATTAATATTACTACTACACATAATTACAAGCACATTACAAAAGCACAAGAAAAAAAGCTGCACATTTAAGTAATTCACTCTATAACAAGGCTTGCTCCAAATTATGATTTGGAGTGAAGAAGCATCTGATAATTATGAAGGACTTGGATGTACACACATGCTCCTAAACATATGCAAAAGGACTACCCAACTTCAGATGTGAGTCATCGATATTAAAGGTAAACTATGAGACCAGCTCTTTTACTTCGTTGCATTTGTATGGGTACTGCTCTTGTAACAACTGTGCTGTGTAAAAGAAAGTCTTTAGCTGAAAGTTAACTTATGCTAAGGTACAGGAAAACTCTAGGAGTCTTGATCTGAATAGTAAATGCTACATGGTATAGAAAAAACCCCACAGTTAACTTGAAAACAGTCTAACATCTGATCAAACATTAATAATGGCAAAAGGAAAAAAAAAGAGGCATGGCAAGTAATGATTAAATCAATTTTGTGGTAATGTGTGCTTCTCCCCTGCCTCCCCACCATTTGGCTAGTGTAATAATTTGCTGGTGTTGGCCTGATCAGTGAATCATTCTTACATCTCTCTGTGTTTACAAAAATAAGCTGTGTTAAGAGTCCTTATATGATTGAAATGGATTATTTCCTCTACTGGCTACACGAGGTGCTAAGCCACTCAAATATAGCACGCAGAATTGCATTCAGCATCATGCCAGCTGGGGAGCTAATACTTGTCAGTGCTGTATGGCCTGTCTACCTTATCACGTGGTTCACCTTGACCAGACAGTAGCCTGCTTGTTAGAATTGTCAGAAGCACAGCTGAGGTGTTTAGGCACACACATCTCTGGTTTAGCAGCCTAACCACTTTCATGCGCTGGCAGAGTCATGCAATCACTGAAAGAGATGGGGGAGAAGTATCAAACTCAGGCTGCACATGGTTTACAAACACTGGAATGACAGGAGTGTCTTACAGAGCTAGAAAATGCTGCTTTCAGTTCTGAGTACCACATGTCAGGAACGACACAGATAAGTTGAGTAACAATCAGGAGTGAATGGTTTGAAAATTAAAATCTCAGAGGAGAGGTAACGATAGCTTGATAGGTTTAATGAGAAGGAAGAAGGGAGAAGAGATTGCAATGTTAGATGTGACCATTGTCTTTGGACGATTCAGGAATTGTCAAATCCCTTGCAAACTCATGGAAGCAATGACTCTATCAGCCTTTAAAAACTATTTTCAAATGCAATGATTCTATTGCAACAATCTTGATCCTGTTGCAGAAAGTATGATAAAATTACCCACTGAAGGAGGCTCATGAACAGGTTGATTATCTAATTGTTTTGTTTCTATAAATTGAATATTTTTCGCCCCATTATAATGCTATGCATTTACATCTTTGAGATTGACATACTGTTGTTGTGAGGACGAGGTTCAGCTGAAGCTTCAGCTGCAACCAGTAAAACATGAAATGCCATCACATGAAACAATGGTAAACACACATGGGAGGGTCTCATAGTTTTTAAACTAAGACAGGTAATGCACAAGACAGCTATCAGTGTGACTTTCCAATATAAAAGCCAATATAAAAGTAAAATGCACTCAGAAATCATTACATTATTTTTCCTTTCTCATTCTCCAGTAACTCTGTGTTCCTCCTCCACACACTACAGCAAACAAAGGAGATTTCACTGTAACCTTAGAAATTACCTGTTTCGTAACAAGCAGTATGGCTCATTACCATGATCTCATCAAACGGGTCAAACTAAGTTCAAACATTTGTTAATAACCCTATTCCTTGTTAATATGTATTTCATGAATAATGAGATAGTCACAATAGCTACAGAAAGACAAAACATTTTCATACATACACTTTACAGATAAGTTGATGAGGAGAAACAATGAAGAGATCTCAGGGTTCAGACTGTGAATGACAGATATGCTAATGACGCGGGTTGCCCGTAAGTCAGACAGAATACTGGCATCCTTTATTATGCCTATAAAATTCCATTATTTTGATAAAACACTGAACAGTTCAAAATGTAATGCCTACACTCTGAATTTGCACACTTACAATAAAATGAAGATGTAAGGCACACTTACAATGCATTAAAAGACATAACAATGCATTACACTCCATGGCATTTACAGATACTTTTTGTGGACATGGACAACTGATGTTTTCTGCATTGTTTTCCCTCAACTAATCTGCTTATGTTTCCTCTTTTACAATTTATGCATATCAATGAGGAACACAAGACTCTAGTAAACATTTGCTTTCTAGGCAAGGATCTGAATGGTCATATTCATACATTTCACTCCTTTAAAAATAAATGCCATGTCACGTTATTTGCCAGACACCACTCTCTAAGAAGCAGATTTATTTTTCTTTGTATGGCCTGTGTTTACACAGCTTAATGCTTCTGTTGTATTCAATGAAGATGCCTCACTAGTAAACTAATGGGTACACTTCACAGATATTCCAGATTCATACAGTGCAATGTTTTCACAACACAGGGCACTATGGAAACACTGTATGAATCCTAGAATTCCTACCTCTCTTGTGGTTTGCAACTTGAACAGAAGAAACAGTTGACATAGCTAATTTGGGAGGAACTGGATAGTAATAAAATGAACAGTAAATTAGAAAAGGTATCACATAGGAACAAATCAAAAGATTAAAATAAACACCTTTATTTTCTAACTTTTAAATTAAATTTAACAATGGTTACTGTTTTGTAAGGAAAGAGTGAATAATAGAGAAAATGAGTTATATACTCTTAACTATTGAATCATTTGAGCTGCAATATCCAAGATCAAAACGGGGAATATAATTCCCATTGACACACTTTGGTAGTTTTATGTTAGAGATTATTTGTTGATTTCTCCCAATCCATGACAAATGACTATATGGTAACCAGGGTGGTCTGAAAAGGGTTTAATTGAATTTGTATGCATATTTATTCTGGCCAAACAGTATAAATATAAACCCCACAATAAAACAATTAGATATAGGCAGATTTCTGTAATTATTCTTTTCATACACTATCCTTAACTCAAGTATTTAATCTACAATAAATGTAAACACTAACAATATGCTGCAAACATACACAAACTGAATAGAAATGCTTGTAACTTTTTGTGTTTTATGTTCCCTAACAAAACATCAAAACTAAGTTTACTTAAACTCTTTATTTTTGGGGAAGAAAGACTGAATAATTCTGTGCTGTTCAAGACATATTTGCAACAAAGTTAAGTCTTAGATCACTCACAGTATAATTAAGCTATGAAATCCATTAGAAATGCTAACTATAATTTAATTGGGAATGTTTTGATATAAAATTCCTGTCAATAATGTAGGCTAATCCTTACAGAAAGCAGAGAAACAGAGATCAATCTGGTTTTTTTCCTGTTTGTTTGTTTAAGGAACACATGCAAAAGCTTGGAAAATATAACATGGGCTAAATGAAGTTATTGAAATGCTAAGTATCACTTTATTAGGGATATTTAGTTTAAAATATATATGAATAATCTGAACTATAATACATTGTTAATTCTCAAAGACAGCAAAGGTCAATTAGTATTTTCTGGTTTTTTGGGCACATAGAAACTTGCACATATAACACTGGAGATTTTACATGCATGTGTTTTGATTTGGTCATTGTGATCCATAAATTTAATTACAGCCCTTCCAATGTAATTCCCAACACATCTTTGGTTTCGTGGCTCTTTTCTAGGCTTCTTTTCGTTAATTTTATTCTCCACCTCTGTGTGTTACAGCACAGAAAGGACACCTTTGAACAGTGAAGGCAAGCCACAGGCCAGATTTCTGCAGGGATTTTTGAAGAGGAAAGGGCAGTAAGTAAGAAGAACAAAAGGACGTTATTTTTATAATGAACAATCATTCTGAAATGTGACGTATGGCTGAATACTTCTTCAAACAACAAAGAACCTTACTTTTATTAGTCATAAAAGGTAATTTGGTTTCTTTCAATGCTAATCATCATGCCACGGTCTACGAGTAATTTTTCGTGTGGTGCTCAAATTGTAGAAACCCATGTGACTGTCCTGCAGAGAACCTGCTTGTACTGTGGATGGCATGAAAGCTGAGAATGCTTCTCAGCTCACTTGGGAAAACAAAATGGAAACAAGACATTAAAAATGGGTTTGATGTAGACAATGACAATCTTTTTCACTCAAAAATCTCAAAACTTACTCGAAATATAGACTGTGCTGTCTAAACAAGTCCAACATTGTCTAGAGCTTTCTGTATATCAGTACTTATAATCTGCGTGTCTACTTTTCCAGACTTTTTGCAGTAATGTGTACAGTCTGATTGTTGGAAGACCCTTTCTTCAGGTAAGGTTTGTTTTATAGTTATTTTCTCACAGGATAGCATTGCTTATTACCAGAGAAAAGTGAGTTGGATTATCATAGGGTTTTTTTTGCCACCATGTGGGACTCAAAAGCAATTTCAGTAACTTTAGACCACTAGGAATTGTACAGCATCCTACCTTGGTTTGGTTTAGAAACCTCAAGGGAAGAAATATTCGGCCATATCCTATCAAACTTTGGAGGATCTGCATGCATCAGGAAAAATCAGGTTTTGTTATTTACATCTGTGTTATTGTTCTAAACAGGCAAGCATATGGACAAAGACACAGATTACAAACATCTATTACTGGACTAGTCTAAGTTGCATTTGAACAGTACATGACTCCACAGTGAACAAGAAAACAAGCAATTGATGATTCCCAAAACACCAAATGGACATAAAATACTGTGCATAACAATTTATCTTCTGTGGCTTAAAATATAATTTTTCATGATGAGAAGATATCCTAGGGCAATATATATGGTTCTAACACCAGGAACATAACAGGAACATATTCTGTTAAATCTGCTCTGCAGAGATAAAATGACAGTATCAGACAAATATGGATTTCTTACCAAAGACCCATATCTTACCTTAACATCCTGTTTTAGGGCCTTTTGAGTGAATTACGTATCTGTTATCGGAAGAAATATATTTACCAGTAGAGTGGGCCTTTTCTTCGGCTCTCAAAGTTTTGTGTGTTTCATCTATTTCCTATCACCTCTGCTGATATATTTTAAAGCTTTTTTTTTTTTGTCAAAACATTAAATGTCTGCATTTCTTAGAAATCCTACATAATGTGTTACTTGCATGAAGCATCTTGTGTTGCAGCAAAAGAATTATCTGTGTCTCTTTAGAGCTTTATCTCCTTTGGTTAATGTGTTATGGGCCTGGAGTAGTGGGGAGTGACAATTCTTAGCAGAAGAGTGCTGGGTGTCGGAGCTGAGAATATGTGAAGGGGTTGTGGAGGAAGGAAAGAAAACTTTTTTTTTATTTTCCATTTCCATCTGCCTAGTTTTAAACATGAGATTTGGAACCTGTTTTTATCATCTTCTTTGAGTACAGCAGTGATTGTGTTTTCTCTGAGCCAAAGAGAATTTTTCTTAATGGTCACGTCAGCCTACACATGGTGATACTAGTGGGAAGAGAGCTATTCCTTCACTTCTATCTAGGAGGAATTCAGTTGGGTAGTTGAGTAGATTGCTGTTGTCACAACCTGGTTGGCATCAAGGGTCTAGGCTTATATGCCTTTTTGAAGATGTGTTTCACTGTTATGTCCATCTTAGTGGGAGACCTGCAGTGAAGCTGTGACAAAAAGACTGAGGCTTCAAACACCTCATATGGAAGGAGGGCAGCCCAAAGTATCTTCTGACCCATTTGTCAAGGGTGAAGAGAAATTGGCTGGGTGGGGCTGTCTATCTCCAAAGTCCTCCCACATAGAGAACAATTCAAGGAAAGAATGATGACCTGCACTGTGCCATTTACTGTTAGGTAGTCTTCTGCAACTGAATGGGTCAAGGTGTAATCTAATCACATAATTACATCAGATTATTGCGTTTTTGTGCTTTTTCCTTATCAATCAAGAAAATGGAAGAAAGAAAAACTGAGTCAGTTTGGTAGATTCTGAGTTTACGTATTGATTAAAAATAACCTGCCTGTACAGGTCAGATCCACCAATTCACACACATAGGAAGTGCAAACACAACAGTCAGGGTGGATGACATGCTGTACTTACTGAGGTGTCACAATAACCCAGCCCATGCACTGAAAGACTCTACTACAATGCACCTGAGAGACCACCTTTCTCCTCCTGAAACACTGACTGGTTATAGGAAATTAGTTTCAAGCATGCACAGACAAATTATTTGCACAGTCAATTCACCGCTGAAATTCTGATAGATTTAGGAACACTTAGGCTTGACCTAAACATTTTAAAGGGACTGGTCATTAGAGAACACATATAAAAATGTATTAAAAAAGGAAAAGCAATCTTTATGGACTATATTGTCCTGCTGTCCCCTGAGCCTTTTTTTCTTTTAGCCATTCTGCAGCATCAGAGTTATTGCAGAAAGCTGTCAACATTTCAGACTGGAGTTTCCAATACCTTCCTTGTGTTGTTCAGTACTGTGTGGCACACTTACCACAAAAATTCAAATGTTTGGTGGTCTTCAACTGAAAAGCCTAAGGTATTACCAGAGGTAAAAGTAACAGTGTCAAAGCTTTGTAATGCCTTAGGACTAACCCTCTGGAATATGTCATTTAGTAAACTGCAGGTCCTATCTAGGAAATCAGACACTTGACATAATTGGACTGGTATGATCAGTAATATTTCCTATATAATCTATTTTCATTATAATTTCTCCAAGCAATCTCATGTCCAAATAAAATCATGCCTTGTAAGGAAAAAAAAAAAATCAGTGTTGAATATTTCTTAGTGATCCTATAAATGCTTTAGATCTGGGCTTGTTTTAGCAAACTTACTTGAAATGGAGGTTGTGACTTACCACAAAATAATTAAAAATTCCCTGACCCTTTAAATTAGCTAACACTGAGCTGAGTTTCTTAATGGACACCCAAAACAATAAAGAACATATTTACAGTGCCTGGAGATTACCAATTAAGTATTAAAACTAGTGATTATTACTAGTTATTAGTGATGATTATAACCATCTTAGAAGGGACTTGTGGAGGTCATTTGTTTCTTCTGTTTGCTCATGGCAGGGTCAACTCTAAAGTTAGATGAGGTTACTGAGGGTCATATCCAGCTGAGACCAGCTGCTGCTTGGTAATGTGAGAGATTAATGAGACTTAATGTTTATATTATGTGCTTTTTTTCAATCTTTGGTAAAGAGGATATCTTTTTCTCATATCCTTATTCATGGACTGTGTTATCATTAGGATTACAGGTTTCTTGATAAAGGTCTTTCTTCATCTCCTTGAATTTATTTATTATTTGTTTTAAATGGAGATGACTTTAAACGCTTTATCTATAAAGGTATGGGAGATGTCCAAGCCATAGAATGTTGACTGTCATTCCCACACGTATATTGGAGCAGATGAGTCATCCTTTCAACAGGCACTGGGAAGATTCATTTAGCAGCTAGTTATTCTTTCACAGCAACCTGTGAAAATATTTCTAGTCCTTACAGATTACCATTAAGGATTTTATTTATAGAGAAGTTGACTGGATAAACCAATCTTTTCCAGAACACTTCCATGTCTGCACACTGTATTTTGTAATTAGAGTCATTATTTGCCAGAATAATTAAAGAATTTTGGTGTAGGTATATATATAAGTTGTCCTATGTAAATCTACTGTAATATATTCCATGACAGTTATTCTGAGCAAACAAGGCTACAGAAATGTGAAAGAGAGTTTCTGAATGCATATTTTAGTGTTATTATTATTTAAAACTACCGTAGGCACCTTTAAGAGTGGAGGTATGTGAGCTGTTCAGTTGAGCAGAAAATCAGATATGACATTTTAAATTTGCATTGGAAATTTTTGCATTTTTAGTTACTATTGTTCTAAAGCCAATTATATGTAGAAAATAACTATGGGAAAAAAATCTTACTTTCATGAAGTAAGGAAAAACTGATTCCATTATTTATCAGATGTATGATAATTTCCTTTTTCTCTTCCCAACTTTTTTTTTTTTTAAATACACACTATCAGAATTACTTCTGATATTAAACAAAGAAAATCTCAAGTATTCACTGGAAGTGCAGTCTGCACCATGGGCTACCTCATAGATTCAGATTGGGGAAATAAAGGAAATGAACAAGTAGTTTCATCCCGATTCCAACCTGACAGCAGCACAGGAAAAAAACCTGTCATGATCTTGGCAGAAATTAGTCAGCACTTTGTGGGTTTCTCACTCCAACCAAGTAATGAGCTGGCATTAAAATTAAAATGCATTCCCACTGAGAGGGGCTATCCTTCCTCAGGGATGAAGAGCAAAGGTGGTGGAGTGTATGAACACTCTGCTGCTGCCTGGGCACCTGTGCTCTACAGCAGAGTAGCACCCTGTCATCTCCTAAACTGTGTCTGCTGACCCAGCCCACAAACAATCCATTTGCTGTAAAATTAATACAAATAAATCAGAAAGTCTTAAATCATGCTCACCTAGTGGCAGACAGGGAGCACTTGGGTTGGCAACTATGATTATTAATTTAATTTTTAATAACAGTAAGGAACCCTAGTGAGATACTCATATTAAGATGCTTTCTAGCTTTCCTTCTTTTTAAAACAGAAAAAAGTATAAAAAAATTGTAAATGTAAACTTGATGATTCAGTAGAAGTTATTGTCTCCAGCCACAGAAAGCTGCCCTTGCCACTGCCTATTTTAAACCATGAGTAGGCAACAGTAAATAGCTATTCTAAAGGATTCAAAAATATGTGCTAGGCACAGTACAGTTATGGCAGTGTGTTTAGGTGTTAATATTGAACAAAAAAATTAGGAATAATAAAAAATAATGTTCACTGAAATCAATGGCATATTTAGTAACTGCTAGAATAATTGGGTATGTTTATATCAGATAATGTTCCACCACTTCTTGCAAGCATCACACTATCATTATTACAGCATTTCTATCTCCTTTTGTCTTTTTGAAATCATGATAACCTACCTCACGAAAAGTTTGCCTTTCAGCACTTTCATTAAACTGCCAAATTGAAATCACTGAAAGAGAAGAAATGCTGATTTTTTTTTTTAATCACCTCTTTATCTTAATAAGTTTAAAAAAATACTTGCCAATATTAGGCAATCTTTCTTGGAGCAATGTAGGAAGTTTCATACCTGTTCCTTTGAAGAAAGGAGAATTCTGCATAAATGTGAAGATGGGGTTGTTTTATGGCAGCTCCTCAGCCATAACAGCTTTTATAACTGTTGGAAGAATTTAAATGCAATTAGTTCTTTATGTGTCCACTTGTTGTAGACTAAAAGAAAGTGATCTTTTTAGAGGATTAAAAAAAAAAAGATAAATCCAGCTCTGGAAATGTTCAGATATCAGAAAACAAGTCCATCGACTTGGATAAATTGTTGGCTGATTCTCAAACTAATGAGGGCTGAGGGAATTCTTCAATTTTAAGTATTTCTACTAAAATGTTTGCAGAAGTGCACAATGAATCAAAGTATTTTTTGAATCAAATATTTAGGTACAAATCTCATGAAACAAGAAGTAAATTATTGTGTTGATAGTTTGCAGGGGTTGTTCCTTTTTATTTGAATTGCTTCTGTTTTTTCCTATAAAAATGCTGAAATTGGCTGGTCAGTTGAGATTATTGTACAGTAATACACAACTGATGAACAGGAAATCAAGACCTTTGTTTTAATAATCACTGTGCTGATTTGGAAATCTCTTTCTTTCCTTATACTCTGTGAAATAAACTGATTACGTGTCTAAGGGACAGAAAGAAAAAGATGAGAGGGTAACATACAGAAGTGTATTCTTTTTCCAGCAGTTTCTCCCTAAGCTGTATAGATAATTAGATTTTAAAATATCTTTGTGGATCATGTCTGCTCTCTATAAACTTCCTTGAGTAACTGAGCTAAACCTGCATATTGTAAGTGCTGTGCATTTTGCGTGGGTACCATGGGACCTATTGAAATGTTGGTATCTTATTTTCTAGAGTGTCCTCTAATTTCCTGGTTTATTAATGGTTAAAGATAACTGTCAACTGAGTAATTTTCCTTATATTACAGCAAATCAAAAAGCATTGAAAACATTATTTGACTGACAGGACTGTTTTTAACTGACCTGTGATGATGATGGTGAACTGGAATGAAGAATGACAAACAATACTAAACTGTCAGTGGCCGTGTCTATGAGACTGGTGAGAACAGCTCTTCTTATCTGTTAAAATTGGTGGATCTGGCAAAACAAAAGCTGAAACAAAGGCTCTCCCAAATCCCATCCCAATAACCTATCAGTGCTCCCTGGAGCAGCATTGGTGGTTTCTGACCCTGCACTCGAATCACTCTGCTGGGATGTTTTCTGCTCAGCGCTGGGGCCAGTTTTGCTTCCTGAACTTCAAGGGTGACATCCTAGTTACACAGGAAAAAAATGGCTTTGTTGTGAATCCTACCAGGTAAAACTAACCACTGTGTCTTTTATTTGGACTGTTAAATTTATTTCAAATCCAGTGTTCAAATGAGTATATCATACCATGAAGGCTATCCGTATTTTCTTTCAGCTCAGTAACGTTTTAATATAATGGAAAATGTAATTGTTAAAGCAAAAGATTCAGAGTGCTTCAAAGTATCAGAGAAAAAGAGGGAAAACAGATACTGCTACTGTTGTTATAATGTTGATGTTATAATCAGATATTTAGATAAGTGATTGCCTTAGACTAGGAGCCTGATTAACAGTATTATTTATTAAAAGGTCAGATTTGGATAAAATTGAATTGCAATTAGAACATTTTGCTTGTATGTCCAAAATAATAGATATAGTCTGCAGACAATATTTAAATGTTCTAAGGAGATAAACATCTTAATGGTCTCTCAACAGTACCGCTTTCTATAAAACTTGACTTCAAATAATAACAGAAAAGTAATGTACAATCTAGTAATGCATGTTTATATCCCACTGACATATGTGGGTGTTGTGTATATGCTCTAGTCCAGAGCCTGGCATTGTAATAGCTTTGAACACACGACTGTGGATTTAATTAGAGAACTTCTTGGTTACTGCAAGGGGGCAAAATCAGGTCCAAAATACCTTGTGTTGTTATTGAAAAGAAAAAGAATCTGCTAGTATTTGCTCTCACAACCTTTTAAGATATGTACTTACCACATTAAAATTTCACAACAAATGCATAAAACAAATAAAGCTACACTCATCAGTACACTATTTTAGTTCCAGAAAAACACCTAGTAGATTTTTCAAGGTTAAGAAAACAATGAAATAAGAGAGTGCCCATTTGGTCTTTTCTCTTTTTTTAACTTCTGTGTCTGGCATTCATTATCATAAAAAAAAGTTATCTTCATTTGAAATTGGCTATAAAGAAGAACAAAAACACAGAGAACAAAGCAGAAAATACCGTTTGATTATTGTGATTGCATCTTGCACTTGGGTGCACGGTCTGTCTCTAAACTCTGACTCATCTGCCAGCAGCAGGCTTTAAGGTGATAATCACCCACACAGAGCTATTTGCACATCATGTCTATCCTATCCTGTATCTAATTATACCCTTTATAACAAACTGTTTAGCATAATTAGTGGAGTTATGCTTTACAGGAAAAAAGATAGAAGCCATACTTTAGAAGATTCAACTTTTTGAAGGCACACATGTACAGATTAGTGACTTTGGTATCTGGTCACAAAAATGAATATTCTGATGCACTGGTCAGTGTAAAATTGTACAATCATTATTTTATCAAGTAAAATAATGTACTTTTCAGAATATTTACATACTGTATGTAAGCATTGCTTAAAATTATGAAATGGTTTTGGGACTCATTAATTGCTAACACTTTCACCAGTATTTTTCCAGACGTGGCTGAAAAATGCTGAAAGGGCCAGCATTGTAATCGAGAATGCTGGAAATTATCAGAGAACCTATTATTCAACTGATAGACAACAGCAGGTACAAATGACCTTAATGGGAAAGCTCTGATTTTTTAATTTGTTTTGTTTCCTTCTAGATGATCAGAAAGGATGTTTACCAATGACCACTCTTTCTTTGTGTTCAAACTTTAATAATAAGCTGCTTTAACACAAGATCTTTTGAGGTAAAAATGGAATAGAGAATAATACATATATGTGCACACAGGAATATATTTGTTTTTCTTTGTTTGTTTTCATTGCAGTCTTAAAAATGTTAACTGAACATTACTGGTGTTGGCATCTTCTTTGTATGCTGACAATTTAGTCTTTCTAACCCCCCTGCCCCAAGCCCATCCTCCTTATACAGTAGGAAAAGCTGGAAGTACACAAAAGCCAATATCCCCCTGTAGGTGTTTGTTGCCAGGCAAAACAAAACCCAAACTGCATTTCCTAAGAGTAACTTCCTGTCCTCAGATGGGGGAAAACTGCTGATGTGAACACAAATACTGTATTAGCGTAGACAAAAGAAAAAATCATGCAGAATCCATTAAAGCAGCCACAACTAATTAATCTTGTTTGGATTTGTGTGTTAATTTTACTTCTGTTGACTTCTCTTTGACACCAAGATAAATTTATGGATTCTATCCTTGTTTAACAAAAGTTCTGCTATTTCTGTATTATCAGAAAGATGTTCAGAACATTGTGCAAGTAGAATTATTTCCCCCATGAGCGATTTGAGAAAAAACACATGGAAAAAACAAGCAGAGTATCAGTATTTACTTGAAGAGATGCTCATGCTTCACTCTTTCCAGGAAGGCAAAGAAATTTGTTTAATTCTACAACAAATCATTTCAAGACATTTACAGCAGACTAATGATAAAGCATAGACTTGCAGAAACTCTTGTATTTCCTATGGAATTTTAAATGGAATTTTCTCCATTTGCAATAAATAAACTATACTAATCACTCCAGTGTAAAATGCAAAGAGGTCAACAATGCATCCTTTCAGCTCACCATTGTTCAAAAGGTAATTGAGTTTCCCTATTAAGTTTTCAAAGGCCAACATCTGCTGATGCTCAGAAATGGTAGATGTGGTGACGAAGGCTGTATGGAGTGGGAAGTGAAAACACAACCATATAGACCATGCAACACAGAAACTATAGCACAACCAAACTCCAAAGAGCTATTTTCCCATTCATCCCATTTCTATTATTAATGGCAGGAATATTTCTGACATAAATTTCTCTTTCATTTAGCTCTTCCTTTTTTTTGTTATAAAATATATGTGTAAACGCAAAGTTTTGAAAACAGCATATCGCTACGAATTTGCAGTCATGCAAATACCAAAGGAGACACTAGAGCAGGAAAATGCCATTTTTAAGATTGAAGGCTTTCGTTTGCACATTATTGTCATTGATGCTGTTTAACTATTTAAAGCTGCAAAACAGATGCCGTGGTGTTCGGCTTTAACACTGCTCTCACTTGCAGGGGAGATAGTTTTGCTGGTGTTTAACTTGCTGTCTGGAGCTTAACAAATCAGTGCCATTCATGAGCTTCAGTAAACTGACTTGATTTATAAATTGATAGACCTGACCCTGCATCATAAGAAGCAAGACCATTTTACCCAAATTATTAAAAACTTTTCAGCTGGGTACTGGGCATGGCAAATTGCATTTTACAACTGTGATATTTTATAATTGAGATAGCTCTGCATTATACAAGTTGTGTCTAAAGTACCTACAAAGCTGAGGCTGTGGGGAATATTCTTTCAGTCAGCCACAACAGGATTCCATTTCTGCCTCCCTGCTTTATTTGTAATTAGCTAACGTGCCATGACTGTGTGCACTTCTCAGCTATGGAATTCAGCTGAGACCCATAGCTGAGCTGCTGTGCACTTAGTCCCTCCAAGTGTTTTATTTAAGTAACCATTTATTTCATTGATATAGTGGTCCTTCACGTAACAGTGTCACGGTTTTGTTATAGTTTAAGTATAATATTTTGGTCCTTTAGTTGCATATAGGAAAGCATTTTTTCTGTGAAGGAACACAATTCTGTTTATTTTGTGGAGTAAATCCGAGTTCAAAGGCCGCTAGAGCTAATGCAGATACCAGCAGATACGCTGTATTTGCAAATCTACTTCATAAAAATGAAAGCTCTTCCATTTATAAACTCTTCCATTTGCTCTTTGGATTTACACAGATGTACATACATGAAAATTAATGGTCCTATACTTCTTGGTCCTATACTTGTTATTAGCAAACACTTTTTTTTCCACGTTGTTCAACAAATATTTTCTGTGCAACAGTGTCTTAATTCTTTGTGTAACACTCAATTTCATAAGACTCAGGGTTTCTTGGTGACAAAAAACAATCAGAAAATCTGTAGTTGGGTGCAGATGAGTTGCCAGGAGCGACATTGTCTCTGACCACATAATAACAGTTACATATTAATGCAACAGGGGAAGGCCAGCATGGAGCCCCTGCACTACAGGGCACATTGTCAGAGAAAAATTATCTACAACAGAAAGGGATGTTGAGAAATTAGTTCCATGAAGCTGAATGACAATGCAAAACAATACTGGTTTTATTACTTACTACCAATACTGGAAATACTGGGTATACCTGTAAAGAAAAGAAAAAAACAACAAAGAAGTATAGTTAGCTGTTTGCTGTAGTTGGTTGAGCTATTACATCTAAGATTCTGAAAGCAATTTTAGAACACTGTGGTGGCAACTGCCAATATGTACCCGGACCTTCATAAATGCAGAGTCTTTAGATTTTTCAGTATGGGGCTGCAGGGACCACTAAAATGCACTGACAGATGGGACCTACACCAGCTCTCTGTACTTCATGAATTTGTTCAGAACACTTTTGTATTTCAACTAACCAGCCATTAGGTTTAATGCTCTAGATAAAAATATCAGTCATGCATGTATTATGCAGATCTAGGAGAGTAATTTAACCAAGGGATAGATGCATTGCTAACTGCTTTGGCCAGCTGCTTAAGTCAGTTGATACCTTCTGTTGCATTAATTGTATAGAGCTATTTTTCCCTCTTTTACCTGACGGTTATCTAAATTAAGCTATGTAAAAGAAAGGTAATTGAGTGAAACAATCTAATACAGTAGGTTGGCCTTATTGGCTAAGCCTCTCATTGATTTTTTTTTTCCTATGTTCATTTCATTCCTAAACTGAATTAATGCAAGGAAACCATTTTAGAGGCAGGTGAGATTTACCATAAGAGGTGGGGATGCTGAGGAGTAAAACTCCTTTACTGGATAAGCAATGAGGGATCTCATGTTCTATGATGCAGTCCCAAGATCTTGTCAGGTCTGCCCTGAAATGTGTGTATCACAAAATATGGACATGAATCTTTCCTGAAATGCCATTTTCTTGAGATTAAATGCCATTGTTAATGGACTACAGCTAGTCACTTGGGTTAGTCAGAAACTGCAGATCAGTATTTAAATCCTGGATATTTGCATCCTCTTGGTTAAATACAGTTTGCCTTTTTTAAGTTTTATTGACTTTTGATGGCATGCATTTTGCTGCAGAAATCTGTTTGTTTCTCTATTAAACACCTGCTCAATTTCTTTCAACATTTATCTTGAAGATCCCTCTTATTCAGAGATGGCATGGACCTCATTCTGCAATTTAGCAAACTGGAGTGAAGGAATGTCTCGAGTATTAATGATATTCAATCTAAGCAAGGTTGAAGAGTCAAGTTGGGAACACTTCTAACTCGTGGCATGGCTAAGACAATGCTGAAGTAACATGAATTTGCAGACTGGGAACAGATCTTTTATGTTTCACCACCACAGTCTCGGGGCACATGTCAGAATTGCAGCTCTCTGGTTTCCTATCCCACGGCACCTGTGGTCTGGCAGAGCACCGAGCACCACACCACAGACAGCACCTGCTGCTCACCCAGCCCTACACTCAGACATTGTTTACAAACTTAATTATTTCCACTTCTGCTGAGAATAATGTGTATTTTCCAAAATTTTAGCATCAGAAGGTATTGAAAGCTAAATGAAAATATCATCATAAAAGAACAATACACTCATAGTTCTAAAAGTCACAAAAAGAGGTTTTTTCGGTTAGGATTATGTAAGAAAACTTCTATCCCTTTCTCTTATATGTCAAAAAGACAATCAATTTTCAAATAATTTTCCCTGAAGTTTCAATAGCAGCTTGTTTAAACTTTTGCGAGTCATTGCAGCTGGTTTAAATTAGCAGGATCCGGGTTTGTTTATTCACTCATGGAACCTACACAAATATTAGATAAAATACAAAAACTGTGTTCTCGCACTGACACTTCCACTGTGAAATGGTATTTGTATTTCCTCTGGGTATACTTCCCCGCCTCAAACCTCTCTGTCTCCTACACACAAATACAAATATCCTTTCCTTTCTCTCCTGAACAGACTGTAGCAAAGGGAGAGGTTTTCCTGCAAGTCTGCTCTCCTCATTTTACTGTATTTCAAAATTTTCAATGAATTCATAGTGATAAATGCTTCCTGGGCAGAGAATAATGAACACAAGATGCCTACTAGTCTGAGGGCTCCGTATTAACCTTGCAAAGGTGTCTTTGGGTTCTGTTTCAAAAGCTAATTCTGTCCTTTTTCTGTTTCTGAATTGGTGTGATCTTCTGTAACCAGACTGATTTTTGTAATACCAGGTATCCCTGTGTGTGGTGACTGGCCTTGATAGTGCACTACTTTATGCCCTTCTTACTAAAGAGAGTGAGAATGACACCTCTGAGTTTGTCTGGAAAAGAGTTGGTTATGTAGGGCCATGAAGCAGGATCTATTAACACTCTGTGAAAACCGCACATATGATGGGAAAATTATTCTTAGAACGAGTGTTTTTGTGAGATCTGGAGTTACATATTGAGGCTAGCTCTTGAATTCAGCTGAGCTGTATTTGGTGCAAGTCCTTAGGTAACGAGGCACAGGAGGTGTGATCCTCTCTCTCCCTCTCTGTCAGTGTGGAGGCAGGAGAAGGTCTAAGCTCACTGCTCCTCCTGTGCTGCTGCCGCTGGGGACACCAAGAGACTGCAGAGTCATCTCACCACTGCTGGCCCTTTGGATGGACCTGCTATGCTGTGGGGCGTGGATCGTTTCTGCTCAGCCTTGTATTGAAATCTGTGAGTACTTTGCAGCAGTGATGTGAAAAGGTTATAGACGTGAAGGATCAGGCCCATTACTTCCCTTGATGCACAGCTTTATTCAGCCAGGCATAAAGAGCAAATAAAACCAAGTGATTGAATTTACATATATTCAGTTGTTAAACCAAAGCAATGTCCAATCTAAATTATCTTCCAGTTGAAATCACTGGGATGGTTATTAATGGTAATAGCTTTAGAGTGAGGAGACAGTGAGTAGCTACTGACCCCAAAATGGCAAACATTGCAGTAAAATGTCACTAATACTATTTATTATTTTTGACTTGACTTGAGGGTGGTGGTTTGGTATATTACATGTTCACTGTAAGTGCATCTAAATATATATCCATTACTTGAGAGGAAAAAAATCTGGTGTTTTCCTTTCATACAATCTTCTGAATCTGCCTTGTAATTTTCTCGTTTCCCTTGCTTCCAGAAATGGGTTGTTTTAGCTCTTAGCTACCATGGAGCTGCTATTGAGAAAGAAAAAAAAAAGCAAATCAGATGCTAGGAAAGAAAGCCAGTTTTTGATTTCTTCTATAGTTTGTGTCAGTGTGAAATCCGTAACACAAAGGAAGAGGATCAGGATTTCTGTGAGAAGGGTCACACTGCTGCTTCCAGTCTCAGACTCTGCAGACCCTCTCAGCACCTTCACTGTCAATGCCCATGTGAGCGTCTGCCAGCAGCACAGTTAATGTAGCCAGGCTGCAACTCTTCCTAGGCAGGGAGTGTGTGAGGAATGAAGGAATTATTCTGTCAACTCAGTCTTGGCTACCATCTTTCCCACGGGCTCGTCTGCCTCTTCTCCATCACAACTTAAATGTGCACCTGCCATATGACAGGGAGCCAGGGACAGGGTCCTGCTGCTATCAAAACACTACACCCCGTTCACAGCTCGCTCAGGTTCAGGGAAAGGGGGTCCCTAAGAGCTCCAGGTGAGATCAGTACAGCCCAGAGACTCAGAATTAGGACTGTCTCCCATGAAGTCATGGCTGGATATGACAGTAAATAATGGAGTCCAGGTATTAATCTGTATTAATTGCTGATCAAAGCTGTGTGAGAACTTTTCTGACAAAAGAGATGTCTTTATAATTACACTCCACACCACACATTTAACTCAAACAGGAACAAAATATAGAGCCTTTCATAGCAAAGAGTCAGAGCAGGCAGGTCAGTGCCACATCTGATCTTTTGGTAGAATATCTGTGCTGCAGCATCACAGCACTCCCTGCAGGGAGTCTTTCTTCCCTCTGCAATTCCTTCACTGAGGCATGATTGCAACATCAGATCCTCAGCATCAATATTAGAAGTTCTGAATTCTCTAGTAGTTTAAAGCTCTGAGAAGCTAAAGGATCCTGGAATCTTGTAAGCCCTCAAAGGGAGTGAGCATCATGATCACAGGAGTAAACTTTTCATGTATTGCTAAACCTGTATTCAGACAAAGGACCACATACAGTGAAATACAAGTTCTTAAGAAATTTCAAGGATTTCCTTCAAGGGCCCTGGAACTCCTGCTACTGTTAATTTTGCAGTTGTTTGCTCTGTAAAGATTGAAAATTTTTCAATTTCCAGAAAAAGAACTGCTTAGATGAAGTTTGTTATCCCTCACCTCTGCTTTCTCAAGTGATATTACCAAAAATAAACGGGACAGAGGAAATACTTATTGCTTTATTGGGTAACACCTTTTCAAATTTGGACTTTTTCTTGTTATGTTTTAGTGAGTCCCAATCAGTATTGAAAACTCTGTCTGGGAAACTCCCAGTGAGATCAAGGGATTTTTTTTCAAGTAATTGTAATTTATTGATAGAATATCAAAAACGTTGAAAAGCCTGAAACTCAGACCACTTACAGCACCTTAAAACATCTTAAAACAGAAACTTTGCCTTCCCATGCTGCTGCTGCTGCTTAAAGACTAGAACTCTCTTTCATTTCACCTCTTCACTGTATATTGCAAAAATAGAGTTGTTTGAAGCCAGTGACGTATGGAAGCAATTCATTTCCCAGCAACAGATGCCACCATAACCAGCACAAACAACCAGCTCAGCAGGGTCATGCAAGAGGGTAGAATGCTGAAGAATAATTTTTCAAGCCCTATTTAAAAAAAAAAGCAGCACATTATTTACAGTGCATTGTTTTTCGGTACACACCTGCAATGTTTTGCTGGCTATTGCACTGGATACCTAGTTGGAGGGAAGTCAGTTTATCACTTCCAGTTTTTCCTGACATTCCTGTCTACCTGAATGCTCTTGATACACTGCAGTTTTGCCCTCACCACTAGGCTTCCCAGCCTGATACAACTTTTATATGACATGTTCCTGTGGCTTTATAACTTCTGTAAACTTCATGGGCTAAGACTAATATGTAATACAAATAGGAACAATAAGAAGCTTTGCTGGTTTGTAACTTAATATTGATTCATATCTTCCTTTTTCTCTTTGAAAGATTTATCAAAAGCATCAAGGAGTAACATTTTACATCCTAAGTGTAAGTGTCCTACTCCTTCTAATTGAATTATGAAGTAGGCACTGGAAAGCTCCTTCCAGTTGTTTGGGAGAATGAGGCCCTTAGAAAATGGGACACTATCTAGTTTGAATCTGCTTTGACAGGACAGCAGGATGTGTGATTCTTTCAGTTGGAGGGGTCCGTGGTACTTGGATTCCTGAATAGAAAGCAAAACTTCCTGGCCAACTTCATTTGTGTTGATACTTCAAGATGGCTTTGTGTCAGCAAATATTTACAGGGAACACTGCAAACAAAGATGAGGGTAACCAGTGCAACTCTGTGGGTGCCATAATTTCTGCCAGAAACTGTTTCTGTCACAGCTGTGCTGCAGGGAAGCGTCGTAAGTCTTTTTCCATTCAGGGAGGATTAAGTCTGTGCTGCTGAGATAGAAGCTGTACAATTGGAGAGGGACCCACTGCAGGAGAAATTCAGTGAACTGACTGAGACTACCTAAGTCTTGACTGAAAAGAACCACCAACGTTTGCCATGTCCTGGTCAATCCTTTGTTTCATCTTGAACTATGAATTAGGAAAGTCATGTAAAAGCTGGGAGGTGGTTTTTCCCAGAGTGTTTGGGCACTTGTGGTACAGGTTATTGGTTGTGAAGGGACTGACACAAAGCGAGCAGGCTTTGATGCATGGCAGCTCAGCACAGTCTTAGACAGCACTGTCTGAACAGAAGTGCCAGAGATGATCTAAACAACAGGAGGAAGAAAAGGGCTAGTGCTGCTGTCAGACACATACAGCTGCTGAGGAGAAAAGCCATCCTGTAATACCAAGTATAGAGAAATTCAATAAGTTCACTTTGTGTGTCAAAACATATTGCAGAAAAAACTATCCACAGAATGTGGCAGCAAAAGGGAATGAATGCAATCACAAAATAGTCAGTAAGATAGAGTGAAAATATAAAATAAATGTTATATGGAGACAAATGCAGAAATACTGTTACTGCCAGTAAACAACAGAGTACTCACTGTCTTTCACAGGTAAATCATGGAAAAATGTTATGCATTCTCCTGAAAAACTCATTATGACTTTAAATGAGAAGGATACAGAAAACAGCTTTATATTAAGGTTTATGTTTTGACTGAAGAATAATCTGGAACGGTCTGTGTTTCATGAGCTGTACCTTGAAAAGGTATGATAAAGTGTTACTGGTCACAAAAAATGGCAGAAACAGAGCAATGGAAATAACAGAAGTTATAGATTGGAAAGATTTGGAAATGGATATTATGCTTCTCATTGAATCTGAGCAAGTTTCCCAAGTTCAGAGAATATCAAGAAAAAGTATCTTTTTATTTTGGAAAAAAAGAAAAAAGTGTTTCATTTATACAACCATTTTAAACTATATCTTACTTAAGATACACTCACTTCCTTAGATGGAAAAGACAGACTTCTAAAATTGGAAAAAGGATGAGTATCAAAGGGACACTGCAGTACTGGATTATACAAAGTGTCCCTAGGGAATTGAAGTAATATATGAAACGAAGTTTAGGCTCAAACTAGGTAAGTTACTTCTATCAACATGTTCCACTATTTACAGAATTCACACCTGACTGGGGAGGGTGTAATGCTGGGGCTGCATTGCTGAAGGAAAAGGATAAAAAAAATTCCACTGCAGTAATATTTAAGTTTGAGAGAGCGAGGAGCGAGCAGATTAAAACGAGGAAGTTAGCTAACAGAAAAATGAAAAGAACATCTAAAAAGATATAATGCAAACAGCATGGAGGCAGGCTGGAGACAAAGTGTATGAGAGACTCAGAATAATCACATATAACTCATCTTTTTTTTTTTTTTTTTTTTTTAAATTATAAAAATCAACTCCTGTTAAGCTAAAAATCCCAGACCTCAAAATGAAAACAGCAGAATGTAGACGATTTTGGAAAGACACCCTTCAAAAGCGTAAGTCTTCTCAATGAAGAAAGATAGGGGTGAAAAAAAGCATAAAATCTGTCAGTTTATATATAAACCACAGTATTTTGAGAATCAACTTCCTATAAACACAAAAGTTAATAATTCTTTTTTGTTAATCTAACCACAGTAGAGTCAGGAGGCCTCCCAGAGAGATGACTGGGAAGACAAGCAATCAAGGTATTATTAATTAATATTATGGTTAAGTAATAATTTAATATCAAATTAAATTGTTTAATTAATATTACATTTAATAATTTAATTGACTTTTAAATAATATTGCATTTAATTAATGGTTTTCACTGATGTTCACAACAAAGAAGGAGAGAGAGACTCTCACAATCTGAGGAACCTTCTCAGTGTTTGTTATCATCTGAAGTAAATGATATCTTACAACAAGAATTGCCAAAGGAGATGTACACCTAAGAAGTATTTTAAAGGAACTTAAGCATGATGTTTCTGAACTAACTCCTGTAGCATAATAACCTGCTTATAACAGACTGGATGTCAGAAGAAATATAAAGCAGACACACTTTTAAGCTATTGTAAAAGAACCATATTGTTGTCATGTCTAGAGTATTGTGTAGTTTTAGCCTAACCAAATAAAAAAATGACACCATGGACCCAGAAGAGATCAGGAAAGCACAGATGACCAGAGATGTGGCACAGTTTTATGACAAGATGAAACAGATCAGGATTTCGTCATTTAGAAAACTGGAGTGGATAATGTCGAGTCTATGTCATGAGACATGGTATAACTAAGCTAAATACGGGTTGTGTTATTCTATGTTCCTTCCTGTCTAAGGAGGTACAGGCTTAACCATTTAAAAACATTTAAAACAAACAAAATAACATACCCTTCACTCATTGTCTCATTAAACTGTGAAATGTATTGCCATAAGATACCACTGAGGTCAAGCTTCTATCAGCTGGGTCTCTCCCTCTGATCAGCAGCGAGCAACCACTGCGAGTATGATGGAGGGTTGAGCTCAAAAAGCCAGGTTATTGCTGGTGACTGAGAAGGCAAAGAATAAATCCTTCCTGGTTCTTCCTGTTTGCCATAAATTCATGCTGCTGATCACTGCTGAAGTCAGGATTTGAGGGGACATGGAGTATTCGTCAGCTCCAACAAGGTTACGTTTTCATGATGCTATCATCATAATAGTAATAATAATAAACCTCAGAAATTTCTCCCTGTTTTTTTGTGAAATGTTTTGATTTTTGATGTAACTGTATATCTGATGACATTTACTAATGTGATTTTAACCATTTAAACACATTTAGAGTTGTTTTAAGAAGCTTCAGGCATCCTTTAGGTGGGCGCTAATTCCACTGTTCCGTCTGGTGTGTGCTCAACTGGCTGGAAAGGAGGTAAGTGATACAGCAAGCTGCATTTAGCAAGACCCCTGTTTTCATGTTCAGATGTATCTTGTCACTAGGTTAGATAACTGCTGGGGTAGCAACTGCATTTTTTTATATATACATATATTTATAAAATATGTATGTATGTGTATACATATGTATGTGTGTATATGTAAAAATATACAGATAAAATCAACCTGGTAAATCTCACTATTTTTCCCAAACATAGCTTTAAACTATTATTTAAACTATTCTGGGAGCCACACTCACTTTTGAAATGTGAAAAAAGTGAATACTCTTACTAAGTGTTTTTCCCCTGCTTCTTGAAAGTTCATTCTTTTTTTTTTTTTTTTTCTGCTCAGTAAGAATTTTATCATAATTTCATGCCCCCACACTTCATGGTTTGTTACTTAGTCTATTACTCTCACATTTTACTTGATAAGGTCCTGCTTCCTATGATCTTCATTTCTGAGTTTTGATTCTTCACAGCTGCTGCTTTGAAGTCTTAGATAACATTCTGAGCATTGCACACTGTTCCTGGTTTTAAACTTTTCATTCAACTGCAGTTCATAGCTCTGTTTCTCCCAAATAACTTTTCAATAAATGTTACATTCTAATATTCTAAAATGAATGTTTTGCTTTTAATCAGGGCAAAACTGTGGACTCCTTTCTTAAAAATAACTAGTAATTTCTGTCAAAAGGTTTATCCTCATTTCAATCCTTTCTTCAAAGGAATTTAAGTCTGTTACTCAGTTCAGGAGGATTCTGAATCACTGTGTATTTCATATGCGCAGGAAAGTGAGAACTGATCCTCATATTTGTCTTTGTGCCCTCTCTTTCACCACCATGTTCCTTCTGACCCAATCCTGTCCAGGGCCTGGAAATGCATTTGTCAGTAACTTACTGCTTTGGATAATATGAAAGTGTGCTGGAACAGTGAGTGTGTTGGTGAATGGCTGTTAGCTGGAACCAAGCAGATATAAAACCTCAGGTTTTGCCCTTGCTTTCCCTCTTGATCTACAAGGTCTACAAGAGTGCAGATGAATCTGGACTGCAGGTCAACATCAGGTAAATATTCTCCAACCTTTAGATCTTTGGTTATTAATTTGAAAAATTTGGTCTGACTTTTTTTTCTCCACTTTCTTAAATGGACAAAAAATGAGCAAGGACCTCATCTCACATGTTGAGCTGAGGGTGTTTCCAGTCTCAAGGCAATAAGGATGTATGAATGGAGAGCTGAGGTCACTGTGGCTGGAGCAGTACTGCAGATATTCCCACTGTTTTCTCTCCTCTGTGTGTTTTTTATGTGAAGAGTCCTAATTTTTTCATTCCTTAGACCTTTCTGTGCAGTGTCCACAGATGTGTCTATGGATACAAACATGCAGTTCTCATGCAAGTTATTTACAACCGTGTGAGAGCACAGATGATGTATCCTTAGAATTAACACTTGCAAATTGACACCTTGTTCAATTCTACACACTGACTCATAAAGAAATGAAAAACTTTCGCCAGCATTAATCTTCCTTCAGAGTCATGATATGGGGCAGAATTATAATAATGAAATATCCTTATTATACAAAACTACTTACAGATATTAGCAGTGCCCTTAGGTATAGGCAGATAAGAACCAGGGCTCCATGGTCGGCCCTGATAATTCTTCTTGCATTTTCCACAGTCTGGGCCAGTTGTGTTATGCTCACATTCACAAAGTAGTCTTTTGTTTTCTTCTTTACAGCCAGTAGCATGGAGGTTGCACTTACACCTATTTTTAAAAGGCAAAAATAAAACACAGTAGAATATTATTTAGGGGTGAGGTGAGTTTGAGTTCAGATCATCTTAGAAAAGCATGTCCTACAGCAACCACTTGATTTCTGTGTTGTGGCTGTAGTATTGTTCTGCCATGCTTTGTAAATAGCAAGTTGCAGTATCTTCAGCTTGCACAGGTCTAAAAGTAGACATTTCACCACGACTCCTTTCTTGTTTTCACTAATGCAGCTCCACTGAGAGCAACTAAATTATTCATCATTTTTACTACAGACTGGTCTATAATCTTGCAGGAATTCAAGGGTTACTCACTATTCCCAGGAACAGAACAAGTGCTCTGCTTATGTCCTTAGAGAATCTGGCCCAAATTAAGATCCAAATTAGGTCCTGGGAGCCTGAGAAAACACACTTCAATTAAATATCCTCTGCAGTGCCACACTTTGGTAGAAGGGAAGCTCACTATAATGATGTCTTGCCATTCTTGTTCAGAAAGTAGTGTCTTGCTGTTCTTGTTCAGCAAGTACTGTCTTGCTCAGAAAGGGAAAAAAAAATTTCCTGCTGTAATTTGATATAGCTGTACTAGCTGAAGGTCAGAGGAAATATTTTGGTAGGCACACTTAGTTTTACTTGGGAAAGAACACCTAATTGAACTTGTGACAAAATCATTAGATAAACCAGATTCTGCATCTGGTCTTTGAACAATTGTATCTTCCTTAAATTCCCCTCTTTCCCTGAAACTGGGACACTTACAGAATAGGAAGTTATTTTCATAAACAGTAAGGCATTGTCACCTCTTTCCATCCCTTTCCAATAGATGCCAAAGCCAGCTAAAATCTGTTTCTATTGGGGGATGGAGAGAAAACTAGTATTTAATGACCTTTCCTGTTTGTTTTCCTCATGGTTGTACATCTAGTGATTTAAAGGGTTCTCATGTGGGCATTTGTCACCTGTTCCATACAGTGACCAATAATTAGAGCAAAACAACCCATGGAATGGCCAAGTGCAAATTAACAGCTGTCAAGCTGACTTCCATTTGGAAGGAATATGACCTGAAGCAATTGGCCACATACATATATATCCCCAGGGTAAAAAAGCTTGCAGTTGTCATAAGTGGCTGCTGGAGAAAATCCCTAAGAAAATGTAATACAGTAGATGGTGGATCATTCTCCTCAATGCTAGAAATGAGACAGATGAAACTGCTGTTATTTGAGCAATGCTCATTCTAAAGAAAAAACACGTTCAGCACCTCTAAAATTGAAATTGCCAAAGTGTATTGAATATGCTAGACAATAGAGAGAGTGAGTCATTTCTATGCAATGTCCGAAATATCAGTGCTTGAAGACTAAATCAATAGTGAATTTTCAATGACTGACCACTGCAGAATGAAAGATGCCTGTCTGGGTGTCAGTGGATTAGATGTGCCTATTCACATAGAGATTGAAGATTTTGGCAAATGGAACTGCTATTAAGAAAAGGAATGGGTGATTTTACTGTCCAGGCAAATATGACCATGGAAGACTCCAAACAGGAGAGATATACAATAATAATGAGACCAAAAAAGTGAGTCAGAGGAGAAAAGCAGGAGAGACTGTGGAGTCACTAGAACAAACGAGAGAAAGGAAGAGAATGGATTTCTTTCGGGAGGAGATTTCTGTTTTGTTGTAGGGACTCATCACTGTCAGAGGCAGCAAACTGATTTAGGCAAGAAGGAAAAAAAAAAAAAGGCTGATTCTGAGGAAAAACTGTAGTTCCTACAAGTAGTTCCTGAAAGGGTGCTGCAGAGTGATAGGGGAACAGAGGTGGGGGAAAATAAATGTATGTCCATCTGCTAATGGGTGTAAATGTGCACAGCTCTTTTAATAAGCACCCGAAAATAAAGAATGGTTGTGTCAGAAAACCTTGTGCAAAATCTCTTTGCACTTCTTAGATGCTGTGCTTGTCTTGTTCCTGGAGAGACAGACATCCTTCCTTGGTTTTGGTTGTAGACAGTGCTGAAAGAGAACAAAAAGCACCTATAAAAAGTGGAAGGTCTCACCTCAAGCCAGTATCAAATTCTGTGGTGTATGTGGAGCCTTTTTTTAGGAAGGCTGCACTAGGAACTGGGCAATCTGTCCCAGGGACCTCATCAGAATGTACATATGCACAGTCTCAGAGACTTCTGCAAAGAGAAATGTCTGTTGTGCAAGAGGGACTGACTTCTCTGGATGACTGAAAGAGGTAAATGTGCGTAGCAGGGCTGAGAGATGACTAGAGTACAATAAAAAGTTAATTCTATTTGTAGGATAAGCAGTAAAAAAAAAAAAAAAAAAAAGAAACATTTAAGGTTACAGAAAGAAGACCATTTAGGTAAAAGTAGCATCCAGATGGACCATGAGAGAACCACCCTGGCAATGAGATACACTGGACTGTGAGTGGTGTGAAAACAAAGCAGCAGAGTCTGGACCTTTGGCATTTCAGCTGTCAATCAACTGAGCACCACTGATCTGGTAGATGACTTAGACTCCAAGCAGATCACTGTCAGGATGAGGACATCAGCTTCCTATGGAAGACTGCCCAAGTTCAGCTGCTTTTTAAGGAAGGTTACCTTTCTTTTGTACTCCAAAGGTAAGGAAGTATTTTGTCACCGTATAGAATATCCATGATGATAAATTATTACTGAAAATCCTAGGTACCATTAAACACTTTCTTTGAAGGCAGTTCCTAGCTGTTATTACTTTAAATCTGAGATAGCAACAGAAGATTTATGAGATTTACATACAAAGCACATTCAACACAAGATTTCATATAGCCTTTGTTGATCCTCCCATTAGCAGAATGTTGTCACTTTGGCTGCATGTGTAAGAATGGAGGAGTTCTGAAAACCTAAAGAGCTGATTCTACATCCTGTGTATTGAGTTCCAGATGACAATATTTTTTGTGCCTATACAATTCTCGAAATCCAAAGAGAAAAGTCCAAGTCCTGTGTGAGGTATTATGTACACAAGCCCAGAAATGCAATTACTGGGTAGCAGTGGGTGGGGAGCAGCTGCTTGGCACACCAAGTAGGTTTGCCTGTGCACGAAGAAGGGACGACAGAGGGAGCTGCAATAAGTACAGCAGTTTGAGAATACAGGTTAAGGTCTGGCAAACGTGGGAGGACGTTTGCTGCAGCCTGTGCACTGCACTGGCAGACAGCCTGAGGGCAAAATCTCATGGAAGGACACAGCAAATGTTAAGGGCAAAGTGCAGTTTTGAGGTACAGTACATGCTCACCGTAAATGGCACTGCTTGAGGTCTAATGCTTGTATGACTTTACAAAGAATGTCTGAAGTCCATGATTATAAATATCAACAACTCCATGGACAATTAGGTCACATATGGGGAGATGCAGGCCTTGAGATAGCTTTCTACCTGAAGGGAAAAGTTGTCCGCCTATTATATCTGGTGACAGTTTTTCCAGACTTTTTTTTTTTTTTTTTTTTTAATTGCTCCTGGTGGGGGCAGCTCTGCCAGTGTTGAGCTTGTGGAAGTGAATGCCATTGCTCCACAATACTTGCCTGCACATGGAAACTTCCACCCTGATGTTGCCACAGCACAGCTGATATCCATCTTTCCAGTTCAACCTGTGAGGACTCTCCCTGCTAAGCAGCCTGGTTACAGCACATGCAGGAACACATTTCCCTCAACGTGCAAATTCAATTTTGAATCGCTGGAGATTGATATTGCTGTCCAACGCTATAAACTCTAATTGTGTGGGAGAACAAATTTGTTTTTCTGACCACTCATCTCTGACAGACTCATTATTTTGTCATAAAGCAATTGAAATGATATTTTTGGCAGTTACATAAGGCGCAGGAAGCACTCTGGCGTGCTGAAGGAGCAGTGTTGTTGTAGTGGGAGCCCTGGGTGCGCTGTGTTCCTCACAGACTCTATTTACATACAGACAACTGACATTAAAGTGCTGTAAATATCACCAAGGTAATTGCTAATAGCGTGCTGACGCTCTCGCATGGGAGTGCCAACCAGCAGACCGGGGGGCACGTGAGGGGATCGCTGATGTTGAAGAGATCATTCACGAGAAAGAAAGACAAGAGAAGCTCTCTGATACATTTTTAACGACTAGCCATATGTTCCTCACTTAGATACATCTTTGAATCATTCTAGGTCATTGCCAAAGTTTAGAAAATCAACTTAAAACCAACTTGGAAGCCTTCTGCCCAAACTCTTTGCTTTTACATGCCACGAGCTGGCTCTCTGCTCCCAGGTAAACAAAGCCTGAACTCGCAGAGGAGTTGGTGTGTTTGCTCTTCACGTAACTGCCCACACATCGTAAAATACCATCCCCACACAGTTCTAATTAGGCATTTTAAAACACTGCTAGCAACATTAGGAGCCTTAGTCAGCTCCTCAGTGCTAGCAACTACTTCCAGCACCTTGTTAGAGTTGTCCTAAAGGACTTGGCCATGCTTTTCATGACATCAAACGTGTTAAGGCTGTCATCTACATTATGCCTCTCAAGCTTACTAATGACCTTAAGGCAGCTTCACCAGTGAGACTGAGTTTTTTAATACAATCTAGATGAAGATGAAAATTCCACGTTACAAACACGTAAGTGTTACCTCAGCCAGGAAGGAGGAAGAGATGTAAGTTGAGAAAGTGCAAGTCAATATATAAGCACCTTTAAAATATACCATGAAATCTTTTTGGGTAAAATCAGCTTTGCTGGTTCATTATTTTTCAGATTTTAATTTTTTTTTTTTTTAAACTCTTTATGAGGCAAATTCATCATAAGTTGAGAAACTGTCTGTACAGGTAAATTACAAAACTTTCACACCATGGAGTGTGCAAGGTAAACAACATGAAAATACTTATCTAAAGTCTGATTTTCCTTTAGTTTTCTCTAACAAGTGGAATATGTTTTCACTGAGGCTCACATTTGCTGAATATTATTATTCATTATATTGTAAGATTTTTCCATGTCATGTCAAAAAACCCCCAAAGTATGCTGGTCCTTACCCTAATTTCTAAAGCTTAATAGATTTTGTGGGGATGAAAACAAGTACAAAGGATACTGTTGAGAAGAAATAAAATGACTGCTGGCCAATTTATTTCTGTGAGGATGCAACAGACAGCGAGAACACGCTTACACAAAAGAGAGAACAAAACAATTACTGCAATCTCTGCTACCAGTGCTCACTATAGGGACTATCCTTCTGAAGAAGTTCTGAGCTAAAAGGGTCAAAAAAACCTAAGGACAGTTGACAATCAGAAAATGGCATAGGTTGCTCGCTGCAAGTAGGTCTGCTGAACAAATGTTCCAGCTCATGTGAAGCAGAAAAGTAAAAAGTAAATTCTGGTTTATATATTCTCTCTCTCTTTTTTTTTTTTTTTTTTTTTTGAGTCTTATGAATATCTCAGGTCCACGTTGCTGTACGGAATCAAAGTCCAAAGAAGGCACTACATATTTTTCTGGAATTAAGGAATAAGATGCCTATGGTCTGCTGGTAAAATGTAGTCACTGTAGTGAGAATATTGAAATGTGAGTCCTTTTTTTCACTTGTTTATTTCTGGAAGTGCCTTCTGCTGGTCACCAGTTTTTTCTCCTGTCCTTTTCCCTGAATTTATCTAATACATCATAATCTCCTGCTGAAAAAAAATTCCTTTGTGGAATAGGGCCACATCAATAATAAAGGATAAACAAATTCAATAATAACAAATATAACTTTGTATAGGTAGATATATTATTCTTTCATTTGCAAAGCAAGGACTAATGTTGGATCAGGTTTTTAAGCTTCTTAAATCTGTAAGTAGCTTTGTGGCTAGAAAAGAAGTTTAACCTGAGCTCAGTAATCCTGCTGCACCTTAGTACCTTAGAATCCAGAGATTTGCAGAAGCCTCTTCAACTTTATTCTTCACTGTTTCGTTTTCACTGCTAAATTCGGGAGGAAATTGAATTAGACTCCCACAGGCAGCATGGAAAATTGGGGAAAATAGCTTCTTATTCTCCCTCAGCTGAATATAATATATCTAGTGGGGAACAGCAAAGCCTAGGCACAGAGCATGTTTGCTTTGCTTTCTCAGTGGCCTACTTCCAAGCAGTTTGGAGACCTTGAAATTAAAAAAAAAAACCAAACACAAAAAACCACAACAAAATCCAAAAGGGCAGCATAATTCCCTTTCCCACAGTCCCAAGGCTCACAGAAAGCATTCAGGACATAGTATTACCCACTGTTTGCACTAAGCCAGCCCAACATTAAGAGAACACAAGTGCCAAATTTAATATGTTAATAAGATTTATTGTGTTCATACACTAGTAAACATTTCTATGTACTGTCAGGTAAATCCTGGCCAATACAAGCGAGAACTATCGGATCACTACTGACCAATTTATGTCTCAACCTGTATTTGATTAGTGCATTGTCTGATAGCTGCACACTGTCTTCCTTCTGAAGGGAAGCGTCAGTGGGGCAGGTCCTTCTGGCTTTGCTGCTCCTTTTCCCCTGCCACTTTCAGATAGAGGGCCACAAGCTACCATGCCTTGCCAAATAAACTGTAAATGTTTCTGAAATGCAGTAGTTTACCAGATTGACATCCTTCCAGACAAACAGAGGCATCTGAAAATGTTTACAGGCTACATCAACAGGACTCATCACAAACACAGAAACACAGTACCCTGAGCAAACTCCTCAGTGCCTATGAAACTGTTCTGATTTTGTGGTGAGATAAAAAATGTTACAGATCAACAGATATGAAATATTCACTTTCTTCAGTCTCTTAGATCCAAAGTCTAAAAATAATCCACTGTTGCTTATGTCTAGTAGAACAGAACAGCTAATTCTGAGTTATTTCGGTTTACCACATAAAAAAATACCCATCCTTAATATTAAATACTTAGATAAACCTAGCCAAGTGGAATGGGCACATGCTTTTTCTAACTTTGCTTTCATATTCTCTAAGTGTTAAAGCAGAAATAAATGTCTGAACATATAGCTGCTGTTAGCTGCCATAGAGAACCAACTTCCATTCCCCTCCTAAACATTCATTTTTGCCTTTTTTTCTTCAGAGATTAGTTTTCATTGAAATGTGTCAATAAAGAGAGTGGCTGTAAAATCTGCTAGGGTTTGCCAGTAGCATGTTCTGCAAATAATTTCGCTCGTGAACACAGTTTGCTAGATTCTTAGCTGATGTAAATCCATCTGGCTCCCGTAGATTCAATGAATTTATGTTAGTTCACACTGCCTGAAATGAGGCCTAATTTGTTTCCAGCTTTCATTCATATTATCCTAGGCTTGGTGGCTGTATTTTTAGATATAGGCAGATAATTTGTTTATAATTTTCACTGACAGGTCCAAGATCTTGAGTAAGCATGGGATGGAAACTGGGAGTCACTGGAGGATAAGGAGCCCAGGAGTGATGTGCTTTTAGGGACAGGACTAAGAAGGTAGGATGCCAGTACTTTACATTGTTTCTGTGCACTTTGCTCCAAACTTTAATCTTAGAAATAGGAAGCTTTTCTTATCTACATGAAGGATGCTGAATGGGGACAATGGCAGTCATGTCTCTCCCAGAGTGGAAGTAAAATCTCTTGCTAAGATGAGGACCAATAATGACAGTTTCTTCCAGTGCTACCAACTGATCATTTAACACTAGTGGATGTTTGCTAGGTTCCAGACTACCAAAGAATTGAGAAAAAGCAATATATGTGATGCACTTAGAGTTTACATCCACTGCTTTTTTTCAAAAATTAGTTTTTCTTTTTCCTTCTCTCTCACTTGAAATTTCCTTCTTTCTCTCTGGAATCCCTTTTGTCTCACCTACCAAGTTGCTGTATTTCACACTGCAGTCAATGTCTTGATACATGGATGGGCTGGGATGGCAGAGGGGGAAGCATGTGCTGCAGAGGTACTACTAAGGTGTTCTGAGTCCTCATGATGTATCTCCTGTTTTCATTGGTTTGCTCCAACTATCAAGAAAAGCTAGAAGACACTAAAAACTTGAATAACCTCAATTCCCATACTGCTGTGTATCAGAGAGACAAAGGCTAACGGGACAAGAATGCATCTCTCTCTTCACCATCTGGAATAACAAAGTCTGCTTGGCAGTACCCTGCCATAATGCATCACCACTTTTAAGTTTATTGAGAAACCAATTTTCCTGGGTTTAATATAATTAATAAATACCAGTCTTACATCTGCTCAGCAGCAATCCCCAGAAAGCTGCTCTAAGATGTTAGTGATTACACCAAACTTCCTGTCTTTATTTGTAAGTAGTATTTCACAACATCAGCTGCCAGCTGGTATCCCGAATTCTTTTTCTCAGCACAACACTGAAAAGGAACAATTTGTTGTGTGGGAGGTCTAGAATTGTGGTCATTAAATTACCATCCAAGTGGACATGCCTACAATATCATTCAAAAATGTTGTTTAACTGTCTGCAATGGGGGAAATTTTATTCTCTCATGCAGCAATGCCTTAAGTGAGGTGTTACAAATTTCTGTCCACAGTTGATGTTGGGATGGACCCAACTGAAGCAGAAATATCTTTACTTTAAGCTTAGAGAATGACTCAGAGCATAGCACCTATTGTGTCACAGTAGGGAATAAAGTATTTTCATGAGACATTGGCAGGAGAGCAGTGTTTCTGCTACACAAGAAACAAGCAAGGTTAATTTCATACTGATTTGGGTAACTTTATGAGGACTATAATAGAGAAAAGCAGCATAAAAATATCCATGGTGCGCGCAGAATTCAGCACCGGGGAAACCAGTTCTGTGAAGCTGTACATCTGCTGCTCTTTTCAAAAGATTTTAAAGCATTTCTGTTTAAGAGACCTCCCATGGCCTCATTTAAAAGCTCAAATGTGCCCCTAGTAGTCACTGCTGCAGAGATGGTATATATGGAATGGGTATGGACTGTAACTGGTTGCCTCCAAGGGAGAGACAATATGCCTTGTGCTGCTCTGAGGATTATTCCTGAGAGGAGCAGTGGGTGTAAGCCCTGGCTCAGGGCAGAGCCACCCTGCTGTCCTCGGCGGGTGTCCCTTCTCACTGCACAAGGACTGGCCCCCGCAGCAGCCGGTAGGGCAGGGTCCTGTGTGTGGGCACAGAAGAGGAGCAGAACAGCCCACCCCACACACACTGACTTTTGGACACCAGGTATCGTTTGAAAAAATGAGAGACCTCTCTGATAGCTTTAATGCAGTGGGTAGCAAGGTCCTGTTCCTACTGCAGTCGGTAACAGGGAAGGTTTTTCTGTGGGTGCTGGTAATCGGGATTCAGTGAGGAACCTTCTCCCTTGCTCATTCTCTGATAGGCATCTGCCGTGACCAGCTCTGCTTTTAACCCCTCTTGTTATGTTTATGTCTGTAGGTGAGGGAATTTTACAAATCTAACAAAGCTCTGATGAGACTTTCACCTCCTTTCCAAAAAAACACCCAGACCATGGAAAAAATTGTTTCCAAGAAGAAGGTGAGTTGTAGTTAAGAGAAAAGCAAACACAAAGCAGAATAATTTATGGAGGTTGTCTAACCCTTTCAGAGCTGCTGGGACTCATGGCAGCTCCTGTGATCCCCCCACACTGGGCAGGCTCCTGCAGCGACAGGAGTCATGCAGGATGTGCAAGGAAATGGAGCTGGAGTAAGGGATAGGAGCCAGCAGGAAAGCTTTGGGCAGTTGATCAGGAGATCCCACTTCTGTTTAAAAACAGCCAGAAAGGAGTCAGACTTTTCTCCAAAGATAATAGGTCTGTTGAAAATATCCCTGTTTTTTTTGCTGCATATGTTGGCTGCCTTTTGCTTCGGGTGTACCACCAATACACACAACCAGCAATAAAGCACACATAGAGAACAAAGGCTGAGTTCTCATTCCAGTAAGTTCTGTTAATAAATAGTTACACACAACTTAACAGTCCCTGAAAATCCCAGGATTCAAGTGCTTTAAATAGACAAAATCAGATTTCCTTTCTTTTATCTGTCTCATTTTATAGGAGATATGTTGGGGAAAGGTAAAGAAATATTGATAAAAACAATCTTTTATTTTCAGTGTCACCATGAGATGTCTAGGCACTGACTGGACATTTAGAAAAAACCACCAGGTAAGTAAGGGCATAAGCAGAAGTGTAATTCACGTTGTCTTTTGAGACTCCTGAGAATCCAGATGTGAAAACTTTTCACATATGATTTAGTGGCCTCTTTGTGGATATTTTTACATGACAAATATGTAAAAGATTTTGTATATCCTCATTAAATTATGAGGACACAGCCTAGCCAAAAACTAATGCTTGATTCTGAGAAATAGCTTAATATTCCTCTTTTCAGACTTGGACCTTGCTCCTCATCCGCACAGAAGCCGCTGCCCAAGATTCATCGTTGCCACCACTCTGAAAGGCACCTTTTCCACGCAGGTAAACTGTGTCCTGCTGTTCCCTGCCAGTGGTTTGCTGTTCTGCTGGTTATAGCTGATATTACTCCTTGGTGTTCCTGAGTTTAAGGCCTTGGAATCGCCTCTCTCCCTCTGCAGTGCTGCCATCGTTGCTGGGAAGTGAGGAGCTCAGGGCAGCTGCTGCGTGTGGAGCACCGGCCTCATTGCCCTGCTCTCTGCCGGGTCCTGCCGCTGCCTCCGCTTGGTGCTGCTCATACGGGCGAAGGAGAAGAACGTGCTGACTGTGAGGGCAGGTTAATTGATCTCCTTTTGAAAAATCACGTTGCTGAACTTGAACTTTAAGGATAATTATAAGGCATAAGGCAGCTCCGTTCTTTTCTGGAGTGTGTTCCGAGGTATTCATGATTGAACTATAAGAGCCGAGGGTGCACAATGAACTGTTCAGAGCAAATAATGCTGACTAAATATTTCAAAAGTGGGTTTGTTCTGGTGTTTTCTTGTGTTTCATTAGGGTTGCTTATCAAAAAGCTTAAGCCTCATGGCTCCATCTAAAATAATTGGGAACTGGTAGTTGCTTATTACCAAAGCAGACACTCCCAATCGACTTTAAAATACATACAGCTTTTATTATCCCTTTTTTATTTCTTTTTCTTTTCTGTTAGTTTTTCGTCTCAATTGGAGGTCATATCTTAAAAGAGAAAAGTGAAAAAACCAAACAACATTTCTCATTGTTTATCATGCTAGCCTCAATTTCTTAACTTTCAAAATCCATACAGTATAAGCTCCTTGTCACAGAATAATTCCCTCTGGAATTATTATGATAGGAATTATTTGCTGGTAGTGCCATGCAAATAATTAATTTTTCAATTCACTGACTGAACTGAAAAAAACTGGGGGAAAAAATTAATTTGTGTCAAATGAAACGTGTAGTTTTATTTACAGATTTTAAATCCCACTTTAGAAATTATTTTTGACAATTTTGTAAAACAAAAATATTTCCAAAGGAAAAATTTTGCCTTTTTTTTTGAGTTTTCAAAAAAATCAGTCAAAACTACTTATTAATGGGAGTTGAATTCTGATACTTTAAGCCATCCCAGACAGAATTTTCTTCTGTGAATAATTCATACTTCAAAAATATTAATCCTTTCTCCTACTGAAGAAAACTAGATGACAAGTGAGCTGTTGAAGTATGCCAAATGCACTTACTATCCTCTAGCTAACTTAGATACTGAAAAAGAGCTTTACCTCTAGTCCAGTTGGTGTAACAACCGGCACAATGAAATTATTTGTTGGGAGTAATTTTAAACAATTCAGGAAATGAAGTTCTAACTGTATCTTTTCTTTTTAATTTGGGAAAACCATTCTTCTTTCACCTAATATATTTCAGTTCCTGTCTTTGTATAGAGGAAGATTACTTTCTTTTTCAAAAATACCATATGACTACTGTTTAGTTATAGGCACTACTCACTGTTATCTTGAAGCCATTAAACTGCCTCAATCTGCAAATGTTTTATCATTTCATATTAAAGCCAGTGGAATTAGACAAAGATAGGAAAATTATAAAGTATTTTTAGTGTTAGAATACTTGAGATAATCACAGAATATTCTGAGCTGAAAAGGACCCACAGGGACCATAGATGGTCTGTGGGTATGACTCCTAATGGATGACTTGGTCTTCTTGGAGCTGGCTGGTCAGAGCTAGGCAGTTCTATTCACTTAGCAGAAGCAGCTGGAAAGGAGCTCTTAAACCTCAAATGGTGAAAGGGAGAGCAGACCTGGTCCTGGCATTGCCCTGGGAGCAGCGAGCAGCTGACGTGTATGGACACGGGCACAGGCCTGCCCATCGTGGCACCCCCAACACTGGCTCTCCTCCAGGACAAAAACAGGGTTAATACTTGCCCTAGCCCCAAACTCACATGGCATGGGGCAAGAGGCTTTGTGTATGTCTTTGTGAAATGGGGGTGATGACACTGCTTTGATAAGTTTAAGTGGCAAAGGGCTCGTAGTTTTAAAGCAAAGTATTAAAATTCTGACCTAATGTCAAATGAGAATAAAATAATGATTGCTTTTGGCCTTCAAGTGCACTGAAACATATATTATTCATGTTTGTTATTAACAAATACTGGGTAAATCAAAGAATGTTCACACAGAAGCTGCACTGTCCACTGAGAGGTTGGGAACATGTTTTCGTTGTCTACAAAACCAGACATGCTGGGAGGTCGAATTTGATCCAGTGACTATAATATTCCATGTACCAGAAGAACTAAACAACTTCATTTATATTTTAAATGTTTCAAATCAATACTTCCCTTCATATTGTGTGACCCCCGCCAGGAAACTCTTATAACTGAAAATTTAAGGAATAGATTGCAAGTTATGAATAATGTAAGGCTGTCATAGGGGAAAGCAAATTGTGAAATACTGCTGACAGAAACAATCAGTACATGTTTATACTGAAGAAAAACTTTAGCAATTTTGTCTTGCTAACACAGTTTTTAAAATCCCATACAAACTTTTCATGTTTTCCCTGAAATGTCAAGCAGGCTTCCTCAGCTTCAAACTACACTGGAAAATATACAGGCTGTTTCTGTTCTCAAAGAACGAGCTAATCTGGAAGTAAAATGCTTGCATATATATATATAATAAATAGCTCTATGAAAAATAATCAAGAACTAACAGAGGCAGATAAAGAAAGAGCCTAGATTTGTAAAAATATGTCGTTAATACAGGGATGGCTAGCAGCATCTATTTCTCAAGCAGCAGGCTATTACAAGGAACACATCTAGCAGGATGGGACAGGATCTGATTTGGGGTATAGACAGTCAGATGCTGAACAAGAGCTTCCTTGCATTAAAGCATTCTTCAGGGCATAAGGAGAGTGCTGTTCAAAATGAACTGGTTTTTGTTTGCACACTGACAGAGTTGCCATCAACTGAAAATAAGAAGAGGTATTTGTCCTGAAGACCTGATGGGCAGGAAGACATAAGGTGCCCTGAGAGCGTCCTTGTAAGAATGCTTGCATGACACAGAGCTTTATCTTTAATAACTTTGGCATAATTTTTAGAAATCTGAATTATGCAAATAAAAAATCAAGAAGAAAAACATAATGACCACTTTATTAGAAAATATTTTTGGAAGTAATAACTGTGGGGATGAAGGAGTTAGTGTTTGTGTCTGATGTGTTTTATAGCTGTGTTCTCTCTCTTGGACACAGTTGCAGAGAAGAAGGAGGGAGACAGCTCCACTGGGATTTAGGATGGTGCCCACAGCAGTCATCACCTCCTGTCCTCATCGTTACTGTTCATTGTCGTTCCTCATTTATTGCCATGCCTGCTCAGCATTTCCTTCTGTTGACCTACACAAGCCAGGAGGGGGGAGCATTACACAGGACACAGAGTTGCCTCCAGATCTTGTTAAAGCTTCTCTCTGCTTTCACACTGAGCAAAAAACCTCAGGAGAGGAAAAGGGCAGCACTTTTGGATTTTGTGCTATATACAGATTTATCATGATATACAGCAAATGGACTGAACCAAATGACTTAGTGGCCAATATAATCACATCACAAAGGTAACAAGCTTCTGGCACCTGTCCAAGCTTCTTCTAACAGAAGTTGAATGTAGCTTTCAGAATATAAAATTTCTATTCCTTTTTTTTTTTTCCTATGCCAGCCACTCCTGTGTTTTGTCTCAGTTTTACCCCTTTATGATATTGTCTGGACCTACCTCTGAAGATAAAGAACTTGATAAAATAAGGAAAAAAAGTCTTAGTCTGTAGCAGGATTCTGTTGAGATGTGTGCACTGCAGACTGTGAACCCTGAGAACACCCAGGACAAAACAGTTGCCCCCTTCTCGGTCTTACTGGCCCTGGCTCCTGTAGCTGCAAGGCAGGACAAGTGCCCTGGGCTGCCTCTGGCAAATTTCTTAGGATGAAGTCTCCCCTACACCTCAGGGCAATTCTTTCTCTTTCTTGTTTGACTAATTTAGTTATAGCAGCTGAATTTTTAAACCTGGTTTCTTTTAAAATGTGCTAAGTTTATGAGGATATAAAAAAGTACACATTTTATGTGTTAGGGATTAGAGGGAAGCTCCTGATTACAGAGCACTGAGACTGGACTTTGTGTTGTATTAACTGTGTTTGCATTGCAGCAAATATTTGCACAACTCTCCAAAAGGTCTATCTCCTGTTACAACATACACTCAGCCAAATTTAAATTGCAGAACCTTTTTCTTTGGGATCAAGCCCTTTTTTGTGGTCTTAATACGGGCAAGAGATTTTTCAAAAGCCCTGGTATAATAAAACACAATCAAAATTTACAAAATCCCTAACTGTTGACAAGAGTCAGCACTAAACCACTTTTAGGTCATTTAATTTTAAATGCCAAATGCCTCTGAAAATCTAATGTGGTGCTCTTTGGATGAAGCCTTTAGAGCATATGTCTCTCCTCTCCACAATTCACAAGCAGGCTCCATGTCAGCTACACTCTACTTGTGCATTTGTTGGTCAAAATCTGGGTATGACTGTACAGCGAGGAAACCAATGAACTGCGTTAAAACTACATCCTTCACCTGCTTGTGGAATCAAAAGACATAACCCTTTGTCATTCTGGTGGTATGGCTGTCTTGCATCTCTCCTCTTTAAAGCATCTATATTTTATGAAGCATTAAAAGACAAACAAACACAGAGACCACAAAATCCAAAGTCTGCATTAGTCTCCAAAAGTAGCCATTGGAAAGAAGAGATATTTCAGAATCTGATCTATCAATATAGTCGTTCAGTATCTGTAAAAAACAAAAGTTCAGAGGTATATTTTAAGACATCAAGTCTAAAACATGAGATATTTGTATATGTCAGAATGGAGGCTGTTGTGGTCATCTATCTGAAAGGGTTACTACTGGAAAGAATCACCACACTGATGATAGTTACTTCTGCAGTGACTAACTGATCTGCCTGATGAGAAGGTAAAAGGACACAAACTGGTTTGGGTGTGTAAGGATTCTACACTGTTGGAACTTTCTTTTGAGACATGTAGAGTAGAGGAGAAACTGTTATTTTACTTTTCCTTTCATCCAACTGTTTCTCCACTTCCCCTTCACTATTCAGGAAAAAATCAAAATGAAAACGGGGGTGAAACCCTTAACTTCCCTCCATCCCCCACTCTCTCTCCCATCTAGCTTCTGCATTGGGTTAAACATTTTCAGTAACAGAATATTAGCAATTAATAACACTCAGATTGTTTGATCTTTACCTCATTAATAACTATAACACAGCATTCTGGAACCACAGCTTCCCACCTTTTAATTTTTCTCCTGTGTTGCAGAGGGGAAGTAGCTGCCCTTGCTGGCAGACTGCAATTCCTGTGGGACACAAGTGATTAAAAATGTAACTGGCTCCTTGCTGTTTTGCTGTCCTGCTGGAAGAATTATTTCAGGGGCATTCAAAGGAAGGGAGGCATGGTTCCATAAGCACAGGCTCTTTAATGAAGCTTGCTAAATGATAAGCAATTTTCTGCATTGACAAAGTATAATAGGTTTACTTTTTCACTGTAAATTGAGACGTTCCTGCTGAAGGTTTCAATTCCTTCTTTGAGCCACACGGGCAGCAACTCCCCACGCGCTACAACTAAAGGAGTCATGATCACCAAAAAGAGAAACAAAGACAGTGAGAAATGAGCAGCTGGAGGGATGCAGGGTGTGGGAGGAGGGAAGGAGGATTTCCCAAAGTGGGTCACTGACAAAACAGATGCCTTGTCATACTGCAGCTCTGTACCCTGTCCCAACTGCCCTCGCTGCACCCTGTTCCTGTCGTCTCTGCTCCCCCAGAGGAGCAGAGAAGGTTGTGGGACCTTCTGTGCTCTAACTGGGGGATGGAAATGGGAGGGTTTTAAAAAAAAATTTTCAAGTCAATTCATGGTTGTGCTCATGTGACACAATCAACAGCCTCAGTTCTAACTGGGAAGAAACAGCCCACAGTTCAATAAATACAATGAGAAAATCTAAGGCAAATTAAAAGGGATCAGCTACTGAGGGAATGAATATCATGTTCCCTCTCCTGCATAAAATGCTACCAGAGTTTCCTGGATCCAGTTCACGTTCATGTAGCTTGGACTGACTTTCTGAACAGGTCTAAACAAAAGCTCTGTAGAAGCATTACAAAATCAAAGAAGTTAAATTACTGTGTTTATGACAACTTCAGTAAACACCATCCCAAAGTCTACAGATTCTTAATGCACAAGAGAGTTAGAGTGGAAAATGAGGAAAATCAGTTTTATCAAATATAAAAGTCAGAAACAATAAACAGTTCTGCAACCGTTCTGTCTCTGGTAACTTGCATTAAAATATATATAAAGTGTTTTGGGAACTGAAGCAATGCTTCAGTTCAATAAAACTAATGCAATTAAAGAGAAAGAATCCTGTTTTTCCTCTGCTTGCAATTTCAAATGAGAGCTTCCTAAAACTTGTGACCACTGCTGGAATCCAATTCAGGACCTCAGCTTATCAAATTCCCAGCCCTGGCACCATGCCTTTGAGGTATTATAAAGTGCTGCTCATCACCACATCTCTGTCTATAAATGCTCCAGATAACTTTAAAGTGCAGACATCCCATTTTGAAACAGGCAGGTGTTCACTGTGAGTCAAAATGGTGTCACCAAACACGCACAGCCTTCAGCCAGTGCTTCTCCTCTGTGTGTTAGCATGAAAGGTTTCCCTATAACATTTTTCTTATACTTGGGAAGCTTTGCAGGACAGCACACCTACACAAAACCACAGGTTTTCTAGACCCTGTAGACTGAGCATCTTACTCTGTAATCCATTCCAGGGATGAGAAACTGCCAGGCTAATGAGCTCTCCTGCAGTCTCTTCCCCCTGCAGGTGCTTCCCTAGAAGGATAATCTTAAATCAGACACTGCCATGCCAGATATAAACCCCCAAACAAACACCAACCCTCCCTCCCAACATAGCTTGAGCAAACCTCAGCAGCATCTGACTTTGATGAAATCCCAAACTTCTTTGCCATTCAGACAGTCAGAGCCAAATTAATTCCTCGGCATCGTTAATGCTCAGAGCCATGTCTTGGGATTTCAGTACAGGAACATATTAATCTCTCTGATAGGTGATAGTGCAATATATTACTGATGGGGGAGCCAGTATGTCAGCACTGTGATAGTGACCCTGACCAGCAGATGACTGAATGGGTAAGGGGAGAAGGAGCTGCTCTAGCTTGAAGGTACAGCCTCAACTTTGGCAGGCAGTACTTCACTCTTGTCCCACTACTAATTTTCCAATGCATTACTTTGTTGCTTCGGTATCCAGAAAAGCTCATTACGAAGGTATGTGACAGCCCCTGATAATACATGTCTGTGGCAAAATAATTGATCCCTCTTTGCAGTGGTGATCTTTAATGCTCGTAGGGCATGGGAGGTTATTAGATGGCAGGCGCCCTTCGCTGGTCTCGAGCGTAATACGTTACCAGACAGCAATGCGCCAACTATCTATCACTTACAAAATAATGTCATCCCTGAAAAAGGGCCTGGCAGCTGGGGTTAGGGGAGGAAGAGAGTTTAATTATATTTGTGGATGAAAAGGTGTCCTGAGAAGAGCGGGCAGCCTGTTTATTTATTGGCTGTTCAAAAGCACTCAACACAATATAAGAAAAAGATCAGGCTTCGCGTTACGGTGGCTCACATTGCTGTTACAGACTCTAGCCTTGAAATCAAGTTCAAGCTGAAGAACAAAATTACCTCTTACAATATGTGGTTTACTTCTGCAAATGAAAAGGGTAAGAGATGTATTAGTAATGCTGGCATTAGTGGAGGCAGCTGGTTTTAGATATTTGGTATTTCAGGGATGTGAGTTTAGCATCGTTACTAGAAGTACAGCTTACTATATTCCTCTGCTAACTTTCCAACAGTGAGCAGATGGCTACCCTATTACCAACCATTTGCATTTAACATATTGTAATGATTTATATACCACATGTCACCGAGCAAAGTGAAAACAGTCAATGGTAACTAATTAGTCGAGTGTGAAGACGCATATCTCCATGTATATATCCTTATTGTAATGAAATTTCATCTTTTTGGTTGTTAATAGGTTTGATTTGCAGTGTAACAGAAATACTGGTGGCAGTTAAATGGGAACCACCATGTCACTCTACTTTCGGGACAGCATTGCTATCATTAACATTTGTACCACTACTCCCTTCCACGCCTGTTTTATGAGTGACGGTGCACAGAGGACAGATTACAACAATCCACTGTGCTTCTCTGCCAATCTTTCTTAAGTGTATTTCAAAGTACTTTATAAATCTTAACATATCAGATACTGGCTAATATCACGGGACAACACACATCTGGAGAGGGTGGAAGTGGGGATGCTGCATGGCAGAGAGGAAAGGCACTCTGGATAGCTACCACAAAGACACAAATAGATTTAAGGGAGAAAATGAAAAGAATCACAAGTCTTCCAGGGAGTTTACAAGGGAGAAGCAGACAACTATTGACATTTGCAAAAACATCAAAGTCAGAAGATAGACTCAAGGGTTCAAAGGAAGATTGATGATTTTAGAAAACTGCCCTCCAGCACTAGAATAGGGGCATGTGTATATACCATGTATTGCATTATCCACAGAATGTCCCAAGAC